TAATTTGAATCCATGTTATTTTATGTTGATAAAGAGTTTTAAGCCTTTATTTCTAAGTTTCCTAGAATCAGATCCTAAGTGATTAAGAACTAAGAAACGTTCCAAAGGCGTCCTAGAACCTCTGAAAGGGAGATACTCATTAGGTCCATTTGAAAAAGTAATGTGAGCAGAAGTCACTGTGAAATAAGTGGTTCTGGATAGTGTTTGAATTGTGTTTGGAGGAATGTGTTAATATGTTTCAGAAAAAAACCATAAATTTCATAGAAATCTGAGATCTAATGCTGTCAGTCATAATTCTTATAGCCTTAAGGCATGTGTGCAATACCTCCTGAGTTTCCTTCTCAATTCCATCCTTGTGGTGAAATCTCACCATTTAACAGATGGTTCATTACTTTCTCTGTCCTGAAATGCTTTCATCTTTAGGAAAATTAATAGACAGGACTCAGCCAAATGCAGGTTTCAGAAAATTTTGGGGCCTTATCTGTAAGGCAAGAATTCCTAGAATGCTAACGAGGTCACTGTTTATAGGACTGTTATTCCAGCATCAGGCAAGAGTTTTCTGAACAACAGCTAAATGTGTTTCCCATCTTCATACTGAACCAGTTAGATTGCCGAGATGTACAATTTGAGGTTGATCCAAAGCAGACTGCTTCTAACAGCCTGCTTAATGGAGGGCACTATATTATGAAGTGGAAAGACAAAAATGGTATCTGAAAGGAATTTAATTTGTCTGAAGCATAAATTCACTGAAAAACTCCTGCCTGGTCTTTCCTGAGTCTTTAAAACTTCACGGCTAAAAGATCTGTATTCCAACTGATCATAAAATATACTGAATCACACTAATCCTGCGAAAACTTCCTGGTTTTGTGGCTGTTCCTTCTCACTTCTCCACCTAAATTAAACTTCAGGGCTGTGACTAGCATCTTTTTTTTTTTGGGTCCGGTCGTGGGGCCTGAACTCTGGGCCTGGGTGCTGTCCCTCAGCTCTTCAGCTCAAGGCTAGCGCTCTACCACTTGAGCCACAGCGCCACTTCCGGCTTTTTTCTTTTTGCTTATGTGGTGCTGAGGAATCGAACCCAGGGCCTCAGGCATGCAAGGCAAGCGCTCTACCACTGAGCCACCTTCCCAGCCCCCTGTGACTAGCATCTTTATTTTACAACTTCAGAGTGTCCTGGACTACTAGAATAGTACACCTGTTGGAACTTTAAATCAAAGCCACCTGAAGACCAGCTTCCCCAGAAGCAGAGGACATCTTAAGATATGAACAAATTTATTCAAGATGCCAGAACAAGGCTGACATAATGAGACTCTTATACTTCTTATTTTTTCCTTGTGCCTATCATTTTCATTTGAAGTACTAGATTAGTAACTAAACTTTTAGACCCTTGTTCTCACTCAGTATTTTAGTTTACCCGGTTATGGGGTGCTGGATTACTGGCTAGCTGAACAGGAGTCTGCAATTACTAATTCTTTTTACTGCATATGCATGAATGCATTGGGAATGATAGAGAATCAATTACAAGAAGAATCTGAACTTAGGTCAGGATAGTTGGCTTTACTATGTAAACAGTAATGAAGCCAGGCTCACTGAAGTCTTGGTCGTATTTAGACTTTCTACATATGTGTATACTGGAGTAGCAGGTAGAGAGGACTTTGCAAAATGACTGTTTCAAGGAATGACTTGAACATACTAGTAGGAGGGAAATTAAGGGACTGCCCTATTATTGGATTTCTTAATGTTTGCCCTATATTTAAGGGAGCAAATTTCCATATTTAATATAGCTGTGCTTTTTACTGTTGCATTTGTGTTGTGAACCGAAAATGCCAGATGCAAAATTGCCTGCTGATTAATTAAAACTAGTGCAGGAGCTCTATTACAGAGAATGATTAGCTTTACTTGCTCATGCTTTCCCACCAATCACCATGTTTGTAACTTAGAAATGCATGACTTTTCTGCATTAAAGGAAAAGGGAAAACAGATGGCTTATATTCTTGATCTGAATTCATTTACATGAAATTTGGTGTTTAGAATAGCCTAGAACTTTAGAACCAGAAGATCTGAATTATAATCCAAACTCTCTTTAGTGTTCTTAAGCAAACAATGTAGCTGTGTGGAGCTGTTTCCTCATCTGAAACATAGGGACACTACCACACGCTTTGAAGATTATGTGGAGGCTCAAATAAGATGGCAGATAAAAAGCATAGAGCCCAGGCTAAACATACAGATAAGGCAGACAATGTGTATTTAAGTTCTTTCTTCCTTATAGTTTCAATGCCATTTAGCGTTGAATTTTCTATGGTCAAGAAGTTCAAGAAATAGTTAGGAGATGATGCTTTAGCTATAGCAGTTTGAGCATAGATGATGCACAGAACTTAGACCAGAATTGCTTGTGACTCTCTTATGAGAACAACCTGCTCTTTCCATACATTGATGATAAACTGTTTCCAAGGCCTCTCCTGGAAGATCTTTGGGTCACTGGATCAGTGATAGGCCCAGGAAACTTGTGTGTTTAATAAATAACCAAAACACCTATCTTGAAGGAAGTTTTCTAACCAAGTTTCTCAAACTTTAATGGGCAAACAACTTGACTGTCTTGTTAAAATGCAGTAAAAAAAATCACAGGTCTGGGTGAGGTGGAAGAGTTTGCATTTCTAGTACACTACTATGTGATATGGATGTTCCTCATGTGAGGACCACACTGTGAGTAGGAAGGGTCTTCAAGGTCGAGGTAAGGACCCACCATTTGTATGAGAAGTAAAAATGCTCTGGAATTTCTCACACGGAGGTGGGGGAGTGAGGTAAGCAAAGAGTCAACCTGTGGGTAGAAATTTTCTTCTTTGCTTTTCAACTGTGACTGCACATTGCAGCTGCCTGAGAAGTGGTTTGTTAAAATTGCAGATGCCTGAATACCCAGTCTTCAGATTCTTATTTTTTGGTGTGATCAGGCAGGCAGCATCTGACTTAATAAGGAGCTTATTAGATTCTCAGGATTTTCAGTGGGACCCGGCCCTTCTGATCAGAATGTGCAAGATTTTCATGTAATTCTAGTGCATGCTTAAGGACAGATAGGTTGCTATATCTCAAGTCATCAACCATTTTCCTCTTACAAGGGCTTGGCTGTTGTGTGCCCAGTGTAATTGTCCCACATGTGTAGCAGGTTGGTGTCAACTCAATTTCGGAAGCAATTTCCTCATTTAATACCTATATCCAGCTCATAAATTCTCTGATCCTCTTGAACCCATAACCCTACCCAACTCCTATTCTTACTGCAGGAGAGAATCTGTAATCTCCATTAATTGCATCTCCTTATTGCTTACATTGTTAGTGGTCTACTAAAAACAATGCCTTGGGTTTAAGAAAAGATTTTGCCCTCAGAGTCTGTTTGAGAAATACTAGAATTTCAAATGCATTTAACTATAGTTGCATTAAAGAAAACTCAAGTAGCCACATGTAAAGACATGGCCCAAGACATTATATCCCAATGACCAAACTAACAGGAATGTGATTGTCCATGCCTGCTCTTTATAGTGACGTATGTGGTTTTTGCCCAGTCTGGATCAAAGTAGGTTCTTCTGAAAGTTTAAACTTTTGTTTCACTAAAGGGTATGTATTCATGCTGAAGTTTTATAAGCAGTTATTACCGTTAATATTGGCCCTGAGATGTAGTTTGGCTTATTAAGTACCAATAAAATGATCACTTCCATAATTGCTGTTTTAAAATGAGACATTCAGCAGAGAGTTGCTCTCTAATCAGTGAGAACTGATTATGCAGTGAGAACTGTATTATGTATCATGATTCTGTCCTCTTTCCTCTTGTAACTTATGATTGTGCAGTGTAAGAGAAAAAGGGAGTCGTGGCTAGTGATAGATGGTAAGTGTGTGGGCTGGCCAGTCAGATTGCAGAAGTTCAAGTCCTAGTCTTGCCAACCAGCAGGGTTAGTCTCTCAATCTCTCTTTTCTAAGTTTTGGCTTCTTAACGCAAGCAATGAAGGAACACCGGAGCTCAGTGTTAGATAGAGGCCTAGTAAAAGGTATCAGGTTATTGGGAGTACTTTGGTTAGCTTCCACAAGAATGAATTTTTATTAAAACAAGAAGGAGGAGGAAGAGGAGGAGGAGAAGGAAAAGGAGGAAGAGAAGGAGGAGAGGATGAACTACTTGTGTAGGCCTAAAGAAAAAAAGGTAAAACATTCCATTCACCAAAAACCAATTCTTGAAAACCCCCCCTCTGTGTTACAGAATAATAATTGTTAATATTTCTGAGGTGATATGTATTTGAAAAACACATAGCCATCTTTTCATGCTAAATTTTATTCAATATTATGCAACTGCATAAGTATAAATATTTGTTCAGTATACAACAATTATGACATCCATGGGGGAGGGGATTTCTTAGAGAAAATAAGACTGCAAACACTTTATTGCACAGATCCTAACAAACTTTTAAGCTGGTAAGTCTACAGCTGGGAGCACTTACCGAGGAGCACATCTTAACAACCACAAAGAGACTGAGCAAACCAAACACAGAACTTCTAACCCGCTGATTGGAGAGTCCCACAACAACAAACAGGTATCACATGAATGCAACCTTAAGTACTCTTTACTCATCCAAAATGCAAAAAACATATTTGGCAAAAAATGATAGTACACTATACAAAATATACATAAAAATATCCTTTGTAAACAAGCAGCTAGTTGTGCTTCAAAGAAAACTGGACAGTGGAAAGAAAAGAAAAAAAAAAACAAGGTTGTAAACCATGAACTATCTCCTGGATAGACCTGCCTTGATGTCTTTAGTGTTGAAAGCTTAGGTTATGACAACTGCTAAACAGATATGTATCGTAAGTGTTGAGACCATTTTTGAAACTCATTTTAACTTCTTGTGAAAAAATATGTTTGTTTCTTTGACAGTTTCACAGTGTAGTGATGAGGAAGAGCTAAAAATTTGGGAATAGCTAACCATTGTGTAGGGGTAGAGAAGGGCAGAGAAGACATTTTTTTCTTTTTCTTTATTATTATTATTTTTTTTTGCCATTGCCAACTTACTTTACAAGGAAGGACAACTGCAAAGTCAGTAATGTCTTTACAGCCTTGCCAAACGATTTATAATCCACAGGGCTGTACGATGATGCTGTGCTTACATAAACAACTTTATAGCACAAAGATACTAAGACATCACCAAGGGGAGAGGGGAGTTGGTGCTAGATTGGTTATTTATTGGTCATTTTTTTCCTCTTATAAAACCAAAGTCCTGTCCAGGATCCCAAACATCTAATAAATACTTATCTGCATTGTCTCTTAGTGCCTTAGTACTTATGTCAGCAAGTGCCATCTTACAATTCAAAACAAGCCACCCCCCAAACTGCAACGACAACAACAACAAAAAAATCAAAAACCCCTCAGCACTAAAAATGGTTTGACAAATTCTACACATTTCATGGTATACAAAATTTAAATAAGGCTTAGCAAAAAGTAAAAAAGGATGGTCACATTCAAGCACCAAATAGCTCCATTAAGTCTTTGTTACAAAAATGCTGCTCTTTATTAGTACAGAATTTTTTTCTTTGCATACAAATAAAGAGATCGTGTTATGAACTGTATGGAGCTACTCGATGCATCAGAAACGAATGTGAAACCCAGGAAACTTGCTCAAAACAGCAGGTTTCACCTACAACATAAGGCCCCAGCTATGTTTAAAATGTATCTGATGTCCTGATTATTCTTTAGTATATATGCTATGATGCCCAAATCCACCTCCCCCCATTTCTTTTCCTCAAAAAAAAAAAAAGCAAATTTAAAACCTCTTCCAATGCCTGATGCTTATATCACTTGACCTAAGTACTAGCAGAGTTGTGTGCAGCCAGCAATTTTTATTCCAGAACAGGGCTAGTGCAGAACCACAAAACGTGGTTGGACTTGCCACTCACAGCAGAGAGGCCTGAGTGTAAGAGCTTGAAAAGAAGAGAAAGAAAGAACAGAAATAAAGCTGATGTGTGTTTAGTCCCTGCTCGTCCTCATGTGAAGACCAAACATGGAATTCAGAGACAAAGACAACTGACCCTTTGGACAGTTGGCCCCAAAGACCAGAATACCCACTATGGTGACTGTGAAGTAAATGGCTAGCTCCATTTGCCCTGGCCATTTTTAATGGAGGAATGCAAATACAGCAGTCAGAGCAGTTCTTGCTTTAGATCTGGAAATAGGTAGCCAGATACAGTACTATCAGAAACTCTGCTTTAAAATACACATGAAAAACTCACAATCTACTGTGTTTAGGGTTTTCTTTCATCTTGAACTCTACTTATAAAAACAGCCTTGAAATAGTCTTAAACCACAGACCAAAACATGTAGGTGAATGTGTACATGTATGAATATGGATGTCTCTATAGTTTTACACACACCCAGTTTTGACCATTATACTTCATTACTACGACATGATAGCGGTAAAGATCTTAATTCAGAAAAGTTGTAGGCGATGATGCGATTACAGCAGCAAGGTATAGACTCTACATCCCAAACCAAACACATCGCTAGGTATTTACAGAGACAATCTCTCTCTCCTCACCAACCTGTGCTGGATACTATCTCGCTTCTTACAAACACTAGCTGGTAAGCTTCGCCGGTTACTCCTGGGAAGGCATCTGGAAGGAGGTTTCCTCTTTCTGTCTCTATCCTCCACTTCCCGCTTCGTGAGGCTCCAAGCTCTGCCTGGCGGACATCCCCACACAGTGCTGGTTTTCATTGGTGGTCAAGACTCAATTCCAGGTTCGGGCTGGGTCCCCAGAGCCCTGTCCTGTTAGGAGGCTTTTTTGTGAGGGCTGCTACGCAAACTCTCTTTGCCTCGCCTCTGCCGCACTACAAAGTCCTTCTCAGAGGAAAGGGTGAGAGGGCGGTCTGAGCTGGGGGCTGGGGGCGCCTTGGTCACCTCCCTGCCTGTGTTCTGTTTCCTGGCCAGGGGAGGCTGGGCAGAGGCAGGCTCTCTCCCTTTGGCTTCTCCCATGGTGGCAGTTACTGACAGTGCCCTGTGCCGATGGCCAGGTCCACCTGGCACATGTGGGTCAGCGTGGTGAGACTCTTGGGCAGTGCCAGAGAGGCGGAAAGTTGGCAAAGAGTCACTCTTGGTCATCTGGGTTTTTCCGTCCTCCTCAGACTGAGACTTCCGGTGGTCTCTGTGGCTAGGGCCTGCGGTCTCAGGAGTGACCCCTTTGGTCTTGGCAGGAGAGGGGTCAGTGCTGAGTGTGGTGGATTCTGACGTGCCTGGCCGGTTCTCAGGGAAACTGGAGGAGAAGCTCAGAGTCTTCTCTGGGAGGGTGGCGGGGCGGAGGCTACTTTGTCCAGTGACCGAAGTTGAGCGTTTCATGCTACTAGACTTACTAGCCTCAGCCGGTGGCTTCTGAGAAGCAGGCGTTTTCCCCTTGGCCTCTGGGAAGCCCTTCCCCATGCCCATGACTGGCCTCTCTGAGCCTTTAGCCCGTGTGTCACCGTGCCCGTGGGAAAGGCTGGCTTCGAGCTTGTTGTCAGCTGCTGGAACATAAAGTGCTTCTGTGCATTTCTTGCCTTCTGGCTTCCTATCTGTGGGGGTGACCTGCTGATTGGGGCTTCTTTCTGTCTGTCTGCACAGAGGAGGGCAGTCTTTCACAGTGGATGGTTTGGGGTGCTTTGGAGACAAGCTTTGCTTTTCACTGGCAGCGGGAAGTTTCTGGTCTACGGCCTCGCCGAACTCTAGGTGTCCTTGCATTGGCAAATGCACTGGCTTCTCTTGTGTATCCAGTGGCCGTCCACCAATGGTGGCTTTCAGCTTGGCCTCAGGAGGACCCTCTTCAGCGTGCAGTGGGCTGGAAGGACCCCCTTTTCCATGGCCCACCGCATCACTGGCTTTGCTCTGGGTGGCTGGGACAACAAGAAACACATCCACACACTTGCTAGTGCTTTTCTCCTCTCTGCTGGAGCCACCCAGGGGTTGTGTGGCAGGCTCTTTGCCCTTTGTAGCCCCAATGCTTGGCTTCTGGGATGAAAGGGGCCTGTCTGGGTGCTTGGGCTTGGGGGCGCTGGGGTCAAGGCCAGGCCGGGGCTTGTGGCTGCTGCTGTCAGTGTGCAGAGCAGCAGGCCTGGAGGAGTCCTGGAGGCAGGGACCGGGTTCTACAGGAGTGGGCTTGGTTCCAGGTTCCCTGGCGGAAGCAGGGACTGGACTATTGCAGTGCTGCCACGCGGCCGGGCTGGGCAGCTCTTTGGTGGTCAGGACAAGTTGAGGGCCACTACTGATCACCCTTTGAAGAGGCTGTTCCTTCCTCTCTAGCTCCTTGGGACTCTGTTTCTGCAAAGGAATGAACGCAGGGAGCTTTTCAGTTCCTGGAGGCTCCGGAGCACAGCGGGCAGGAGGGACTTCAGGCTTGGGGTTCAGGCTGTGTCTCCCCTTGCTCGCCTCTTTTTCACAGTGGCTCCCAGCTGAGGGTGAGGGGTCCTCTCTGGCCAGGGCCCTCCCCTCATCTTTCAAGTTTGTTTTTGCACAAGGCCCCCATGCTTTCTCTATGGCCTGAGTCTGCAGGTGGACATCTGGGCGGGTCCTTCCCCCCGAAGGCAGATTTTTGGAATTGTCACTGGCTTTAGCTGTCTCTGGAGGATACAACTCCACCGAGGGTTCTCGGTGCACCTCTGCCCTCATGATAGCACGCTCACTCCGGGCTGTGGATGGCCCCCTTTCAGACCGCTCTTTCAGGCTTGGCTTCTCTCTTGGGAGGACCTCTTTGGGTGGGAGGGGGACGCCTGGCCTGGCCGGGTCAGTGCTTTGCAGGGTCTGCCCTGGGCTAGCCATGACCTTGATGTCTGTGGACCGGTCCTGGTGTTTGGGACTCCCCTCTCGCTGCTGGGGCTGACTCTCCACAACTGTCACCGAGCTTCTGGCAGCAGCATGGGCAACTTTCCTGGTTTGTTTTAAGTCTGAGTCTGGCAAGGGAGCTGCTGGTGAGTTCTGGAGACCCCGGGCAGGGGGGAGGAACCGAGGGTCTAGCAGGTAGGACTTGTTCATCTTTAAGCTGGCAGGGTCACCCTTTTTGCCACTGCTGCTAGCGAGGGCCAGCAGCACAGAGGGCTTCATGTCGTCACCTGGGCTGGGGCTCTGCGCAGGCTCTGGGGAAGGCAGCTGTGTCTTAGAAGCATGAGGTCCAGATAGGAGAGCAATGTCCAGTGTGCCCTCGATGGGCTTCAGGCACGAAACTGACCTTCCTTCCAACTTATACTCAGAGGGGCTCTTCCTGACCGGCGACTCGGGGGCAGCCAAGCCTGGCTTCTCTGCTCCACCATCCCCCCGGCCAGCTAAGGCTTTGAGGGGAACAAAGGAGACACCACTCATCGAAGCCACATGGGCACTGCTGACATATGCCCGGCTCTCGGGCTCCTGATGTCCATTTGCAGGCCGGGCTGGATTTCCCGCCGGGCATTCGTGGGTATTGGATGTCATCTTTGGCTTGAGCATGGAGCAGTGGTTATCGTCTTTGTCGTCGAGGGACATTTTCTTTCGGAGGTAATCAATATTGGCCAGCTTGCCGTCTAGCTTGTCATTTCGAATGAATTCCTTGGCCTGGGAGGTCTTCTCTGTGCTCTCCCCTTTCCCAGGGGCGGGCCTCTCAGGGGAGTGACAAAGCCCGTCCTGGAGCGTGGTAGGGGTGCAGGCCCGTTTAAAGTCACCTGTACCGTGACCATGCTCCCCGGGGGCCAGGCTGTGGCCAGGCACTGTCCCATCTAGAGTCACCCCCTCGCTGGCCCGCACGCTGGCCTGCTTGTGAAGAGCATCTTTTAACAGGCTGCCCAGAGAAGGAGCCTCCACTGCTTTGTTATCAAAATGACCTGCCCTTTCTAATGGTTTGGGGTAGCTTTTCTTCTCTCTCTCCTCTAGCCTGAAGAGAGCATGACTTTCTGAATCACTGTTGAGGCTGGGGGCTTTCTGATGGGGGTCTTGTTTCTCTGGGAGGCCATCTGGTTTCTTCACGACCACTTTGGCCTTCAGTCTGTCCCTGTCTAGGTCATCCACAGATTCCTGCCGGCCCAACTTCCGGGACACGGGGCGTTTCAGGCAGCCCTGTTCCACAGGCCGGGCACGGCTGAGCGACGGGGCATCACACACGTTTTCCTCCAGGCTCTGTAGGGTCATCTCCCGCTGGGACTGTTCCCGCTGCACTTCCTCCTGGGTCACCTCTAGGCTGTGCTTGCGGGAGCACAGGTGCTTCTTGTCACTGCTGTAGGAAGGGGAGAGTTTCTCCTCAGACTGCACCCGCTTGAGCAGCGGGGAGCGTGGGGGCTCGGCACTCTTGGGCCTCACGATGTGCCTGACGATGGTGGGAGGAGAGTGCATCTTGCCAGGAAAGGCTTGTGCCATCTTGGCATTGCCCAGTGAATGTCCCAGCAGAGGGGATGGTGAGCGCTGAGGGGAGGTGGGCTGGGGGGTGGGAGAGGGTGTCCTGGCCAGTGGGGACAATGGGATGCTGCCAGCCGACTTCCGTCTTCCAGAGCGGTACCGCTGTCCACTGAGTTTGGGGGCCAGGCCGTGGAGAGTGCTTGGGCGGATGTGCCCAGACCCTGCTGGGGAGTTGGGAGCGCTAGAACTTGGGGAGCTGCTCTGGGAGGAATTCGTACCTGTGGGTGAAAGATAGAAGGCGGTGAGTACCCAGGGTCGTCTTCCTTTATCCCCCCCAGGCCTGTCAGGTAAATCCCCTCATGCTAATCTTATTTCAATAGTCAGTGAACAGCCCCATCTGTGTCCTGCTTCTGAGTCCTGCCGTTCACCTCCGCCACCTGCCTTCCCCGGGCCGGCCTGAGTGCCTGCTTCTCAGAAAGGACCAAGGATGACCTCACTTCCTCTCCACACTCTAGGGCGTCAAGACCTGGGGATCACTCACCGGATGGGAAGTCAGGGGTGGAGCGATAGCTAGGGGTAGGAGAGCGAGGGGACAGGCTGTGTGTCGGGGAGCCCGGGAGACTCTCTCCTGATGACAGAGACCGGTTCAAGCAGGAGAAACTGCGGCTGGTGTGGAGCAAGGGCGAGGGCTGCTTGGCTAGCTTTTTGAAAAGAGATCTCCTCCTAGTGTGGAAACAGGAAATAATAGATCAGGTTTACTTTCAGATCCTCTCCTGCCTGCCCACGATACAGTGTCTTCACTCAGTGCCTGAGTGTCAGATGGTATCTGCCTGCAGAGAGTAGGAGGCTACTTCCTCATGAATGAGAAGGGAACAGTCCCAACTGGGTGCTGGTGGCTCACGCCTATAATCATAGCTACTCAAAAAGACTGAGATCTGAGGATGGAGATTCAAAGCCAGCCTGGCAGGAAAGACTGTGAGACTCTTACCTCTAATTAACCACCAAAAAAACTGGAAGTGGAGCTGTGGCTCAAGCGGTAGAGTACCAGCCTTGGGTAATAAAGCTCAGGGACAGTGCCCAGGCCCTGAGTTCAAGCCTCAGTACTACCAGAGGAGGAGGAGGAGGAGGAGGAGGAGGAATAGTGTGGGACAGTATTCATGCAGGTACATTTAATTCCAAACACTTAGGAAGATCTGGGAAAATAGAGGTATAAATACATTAAAAACATACTAATTAGGTTTATGGTAAGAGTCTTCTTTGTGTGAAAGCTTCTTAGGGCATACCGCATCTGTGTCAGCATGATTTAATCAAGAATAATACAAATAAACCCATAGAAATGAAACCATTAGTCTGGATACAGAATCCTGTAATGGTGAGATACTGGGCAGAGGCTTTATCTGTGGAGGGCTGTTTGCTATGCTCATTCCGTTGTGGGCTCTTGAATATTCCCAACAACAATGCGGGCTATGTTTACATGGACGACACCAGGCAAGGTAACGCGGAGGCCTTCCCTATCAGTAGACAGCAGACACTGTGCCACAGACACATTGAACACTTAGAGCTCAGTGAGTGCAAGATAAAAAATAATAATAATAATACAGCTGCCTCAGGCTTATCTGCACATGTGGCTAGCTGGAGCTCTTTTGCTATCAAAGAGAGCTTAAACACTAAATTGTAATGCTTCTATACCTTCTAGAGTAGCTTATTCTCTATAACCTAAAGCACACCCAAAATATAAAGTGCAATATAAAAGAGTAGAAGGAGCCTAGAATTTGTGGGAACACTTTACGTTCTCTCTACTCCCTCAGAGAAATGAATGGGAAACTACCTTCTATTCTTTTGCCTCTTTACTCTCATTTGTCTGTATATTGCTAAATCCTGTGCCTATATTACTATATTTAAATTTGTTTGGCTGTAGAAATCCTGTTCATTTGCTACACTGAAGGATGAGAATTAAATTCTTATATAATCACTTTTGACTCACAACACCTTATGGCCTTTTTTCTATTCTTCCCAATATAGCTGACTCAAAAAATTTTGGTTCTAGGCTGGGCACTGGTGGCTCACGCCTGTAATTGTAGCTACTCAGGAGGCTGAGATCAGAGGATCATGGTTCAAAGCCAGCCTGGGCAAGAAAGTCTCTGAGACTCTGAACACCAATTAATCACCAGAAAACCGGAAGTGGCACTGTGGCTCCAGTGGTGGAGCACTAGCCTTGAGCTGAAGAGGTCAGAGACAGCTCCCAGGCCCAGAGTTCAAGCGCCACAACCAAAGGAAAAAAAAATTGGTTTTAGAAACAGCTCATGTTTAATTTTCACATCACAGCTAGACTATAGAAAGTATAATTCTGTTTTCCTTCTTATATAGCTTTATTTTTCCCAGAACTGATCACTCATTTTCCACATATATCTTTCTATATCTCTATTCAAAGTCTCCATATGATGACTATGCCAGGTCCAAGTGAGTGAAGCAGACAGGTTACAGCACACACAAGCCAAACCCACCTGGCAAGAAAAATCCCTGCCTGGAGCACAAGCATGCATCTCCCTTTCCTCTGCATGGAACACGGTTAGACACGTAGTGTCCCATACACCAGGTTTATGTCAACTCACTGGGCTTTTGTTACTGAGAAAGAGCTCCTTTATTTCTAAGTCTATATTTGGAAGCTTTAAGGATGTAGTTATTTTGGTATGTCTGGCATTACAAAACAACCATGTTTACATTAGTAAAGTACATTTATAATGCAGATACAATGTGTGAAAAACTGCCTGATGGCCCAGTTCCAGAAATCTACCTCTACCGAAATGAAGTCTAAGAGGCTTAAAAATGAGCAAAGGGCTCTTTGTGGTACTCACAGGTGATCAAAGATGATAGAATCTTTGTACTATAAAACATCCCAATAATTTTCCCGTGAAAAAGAGTGGTATTAACAAATATGAACTTTAATGTATACGCATGTGTAAATTGTGGCATGCAATTTCTCACGGTAAAATAGATCTCTCTTCTATGTCAGAGTGTATGTTAAGGAACAACTTTTTTCCTACATGGGTAGGTGTACACCAAATTTGGGAAGATCCATTTAACTAACCTCTCTAGACTTTCCTTCTTCTTAGACTTCTTGCTCCGCCTCACCATCCGGCTCTTATAGCTGTTTCTTCTGGCTGGTCCTGTTTTGATTGATGTGTTTTCAAATGGGGTCGTGGTGATTGACACCTTATTTCCGCTCTATTAAAAGAAAAAAAAAAGGTTAGGTGGTATTAAAGAGAAATGCTATAATAAAGCAAGATCTGAACTGAGTTAAAGATTGGAAGACAAAAGAGACAGGGGCATTTATCCAAAAGTCCTTCCATTTCTAAATAACCCTTCTCTCCCCGAAGTCCTGACAATTCAAATGGGATGGCTGGCAAAAAGGAAGTGCCTTTAGAGGGTGGGCCCTGGAGCCATTGGTTTGAATTCCTACTTGAGCAGGCTGCTGAACCTCATGAGTCCATATTCCCACTGTACTAGCTAAAGGTGAGGGCTGAATTCTATCTATCTCATTTCTCAGTGCTCATTCAGGGAGCAAATGAAGAGTTTGTAAAACCTTTAGCACCAAGTGGTAAGGGAAGGCCTTATGGGAAGGCCTCTATAAATAACGGTTAGCTTCATTCATATGCATTAAGTAGAAATGTGCCCAGTGGCTGTCTAGTCTTGGTTGATATATTTTTCTTCTTTTTTTCCCCCCCTCTGTTTTTGTGTTTTTCCTTTGGCCTAGAAATCATAGAGCAGCAAAACTGAATGAGACTTTTATGTTTAATGATTCTTAAAAGGTTCTTTTCCTATTATCATAAAACCTGTCAGCCTGCAGAGCTAGAGAGTATGTGCCAGGCAGTGGGAAAGCTCTCTATGCAGGCTGCACACAGTAAGGTATTTCCTTGCTTCCTGGTTGGTTCTGTGTCTTCTCCCTGAGTTTTGGGAAGGGACATGGTGGGCAGCCGCAAAGCATAAGGTAAAGTATGGTGCTGGCAGCCAGATGAGGGGTGCTGAGGGCAGGTGGTGAGTTACTCTGACTTTCACAATTTCTTGAATTTCCTAATAACCAGAGGAGAGACATGTTCTTTCAAAGTCCGGGGTGGGGGTGGGGGTGGTGCTGGGAAGATGGCTCAGTGGTAGAGCGCTTGCCTTGCATGCATGAGGCCCTGGGTTCAATTCCTCAGCACCATGTAAATAGAAAAAGGCCTGAAGTGGTGCTATGGCTCAAGTGGTAGAGCACTAGCTTTGAACTAAAGAGCTGAGAGACAGTGCCCAGGCCCAGAGTTCAGGCCCCACAACCACCACCACCACCACCAACAAAAACAAAGTCAGAGGGGGCTCTGATGACCTTGCAATGACAAGCACTATAAGGAAAGGGCCTTTCCAAAGGCCTTTGCCGGGAAGGGACCCAGTGGCTGAGGTTGAAAAATGGTATCAGGTTATAGGAAATGAAGGGTTGTGGGTACAGTTGAAAACACAAGGAGTGACTATTGTAATGATAACATCTATTCTTCCCTTCCCCCAATTGGGAAGTATCTCATGCTTAGTAAGAAAAAAAAATGGAAGTATAAGTTAAAACACAGGGTCTTGTGTATGCAAAACAAGTGTTCTATCATTAGTTTTAAAACTATATCCTCCTCTTGACCCCCCAACTTTCTAAGACATGTATAAATATACATGTATATTTATATATTTTATAGATAGTTTTATTATTACTCTGGAGATTTATTTCTTAATTTCACATTATATAATTTTTCATCATTGAACATTCTCTAAGAGTGAGATTGTTATTGGCCACATACTAGATTCTTCCACTTGGGTGAGCCACAACTTATTTAGCTATTTACCTTCTGCAATTCTTTTCTCTTTTTTGCCAGTCCTGGGGCTTGAACTCAGGGCCTGAATGCTGTCCCTGAGCTTCTTTTGCTCAAGGTTAACACTCTATTACCATAGAGTGGCCATAGTGCCACTTCCTGCTTTTTCTGTTTACGTGGCACTGAGGAATTGAACCCAGGGCATGACATGCTAGCAAGCACTCTACCACTAAGCCACATTCCTAACCTGTAATTATTTTCTATTTTTCAATCCTTATGGGTTAAGATTCTCTTATTTTAGTTTTCTATGTTTCTTTAGGGAATGATTTGTTTCTGCCTTTGACTAGGCATGGTATTTATTGTTGTCTTTATTATCCTTTATCATTCCCTAAAATTTTAGAGAAATGTAGTTTGAATTCCAATACACAGATTTTTATCTTCTTCATTCTAAATAGGTAACTGGTGTGTTCTATATGCAAATACACATTTTGAAAGTATACCTTTACTCTTGTAGTAGAGATTGATAGTCTATTTTCTAAATAGAAAATTCAGCTACTAAGTATATCAGTTTTACTACTGGAGGTTCTTTGGGGTGGGGTCTTCTCTTCATAAATCATGTGGGGCCATGATGGAAAATGGTAGGTTTTCCTTTCATGAAGGAAAGGACAACAGAAACGGCTGAATTTCACCACTTAACGATGCTTCGCTTCATTTTTTTTCACATTCCTACATTGAGTGGACACACAAGGCCATACAGTTATCTGGGATGTCCTACAACAATAAGTACAATGGAACCAAAAGCCTCAACATTATTTATCACAGGTTACAGATCCCAATGAAAGAAGATTCCAAGCCTGGCTCTCCTGACCCCATCCTCCAGTACTTCTCCTTCCCAAACCCAGTCCTTATAGGTGGGGTAAGTCCTTATCCTCTACATCTCTTCTGTGCTTGGCTCATACTTATCACCAGTGGTGATGAAGAAGCCAGGAATGCTCCTGGTGGGAGGCCTGTCCAGAGTATCAGATCACCAAGAAGAAATGAGGGAGACAGAAGCTTTGTAAAACTGGGTGACCACTTCTCAGTGAGGAGCAGGCCTTCCTGAGAGCAACTGACTGCCCTTTCCCAATACAAATCTGTTTCCTTTCTGTTCGTACACATGGCTATTTCAGAGAATCATTCATTGGATGTAGGCACATACTCCAACGATAATTTCTCTAGGGGGGAAACATACAAAAAATGTAGAGTACAAATATTACATTGAAAACAATAGTGGGGGGAAGGTACATAATTGGGGAAAAAAATGCTATTTGGGAAGCCTGCCACCTGGTGGATCTAGTTGGCAAGTGCTACCTGAGTATGGATGAATATAGTTTGCAGACTAGGGTTATACTCAATTAACTTCTCTTGGATAAATGAGCAATTTATGGCAAAACTTGTTTTAAAATAATAGCAACAACAACATAAATGTAGTCAGCACAGTAGTCAGTGTTCAGTTAATTCACTTTTACTTAAATTCTTTTCAAGAATGTTTACAGTGGGAGGGAAATTATTTTAAGCTGGCTGAACTGAGTCCAGTAGCAGAAGTTACACTATCCAATTTCCTCTCATAGTCTGACTGTGTCACCTTAACAGTTAGTCTTGAGCCAACTGGTAGATCTAATGCTCTTGCCTTTCTCTGCAAAACACAGGTGGGGAACAGGCCTTTCTTGCACATAGATTCTCCTATACTACCTTTTCATATGATGAATCTCCATGCATCTATCAAAGCCCTGAACAGATAGCTCCCATTTCTCTGATGCTATTCCTATGCAGCTTGGTGGCCAGCCATCTTTCCTCCTTCTGAACGTCTGCCATGTTTACAGGCTGATCCTTATGTTGAACGCTGTGATTAGAGTCTGGCATTGCCACCATTTCCCACTGTGAGCATTAGACTATAGGGTGCACTGGCAAATTGGCGGATGCATGTGTGCAGTAGTGCACTGCAGGAGTGCAAATTATCTTTGGCTCCCTGGCAGACAGGCTGGAGTGCCTTGTTCAGTTTTCTCTGTGTTTCCTTTTTTAAACAAGAACATTTATATTTGTACATTCATCGCATCTACCTCAGAGGGTAACTGAGGGTGATCTAAGATTATTTTTGTCAAGCATGACAGAGCTTGACAGGTACCAAATACTCTGGCTTTACTAGCTGTTATTCTTATGTGTCATTTTCGTGTGATCCTTGCAGTATTCCCATAAGTACTACACATACGGGGGCGGGGGGGGGGGGCGGGGAGAGGCGGGGAACATGATGCTATTTTGGTGGTCCTCGTTTCAGTATCTAGAATTTCCCAAGAAGTCATAGAAAGGATACTTCTGAAGCAGAAGCTCATGAAGTTTAGGGCTTCTCTTAGGCCTAACAATGTAAAATAGTGCTATACTTAAGGCAGCAACCTGGGTGAATGCAAAGTCTGGTAAGCCTAGAAGAAGGCTATCAGGCAGGCAGGGAATATGGCGGGGTCCATATGGCCTCTGTGAATAAGGAAAGGGTGGAGAAAGATTTCAGCCAATCTCTGATGTTTTTAGAAAGACTGATGCCACCTAAAAGTCAAATGTAAGTAGTGAACTCCTTGTGGCAGGAAAGAGATTAACTCCTTGTGTGAAAGGATTTGTGTCGTTACTGGGGAGGTGGACCAGATAATCCACAGTGTCTATAATTCCATGGGTCAAGGATGCTGAAAGTCTGGACAAGTTTCTCTGTCTGTATAAGGCTGAGCTTCCATAACAGGTCTACTTGGAGACAGTGAGGAAAAGTGAAGCCCAGTGTGAAACCATGAGACAGAAAATACTTACGATGTTTACAATCTAAAGAATAGCTATTAGAGTTTCTAAATGTGTACATGTAGCTCTATGTGGCGACTTTCCTGCCCTTTTTTTAAGGATGCCATGCATTTCTGTAGAGCAGTATATTGTGGGAATAGAGCTGCCACCCCGAGGCTAAGCCCGCTGTTGATACCCGTCACTCTTATACTCTTTGCTCAAGAATCGTTGGTTAAATTTGGAAGAGAGCTGCATGATTACACAGTTCGCTGGGAAGATAATTAAATCCCTTGTATCCTCTTTGTTTCATTACACTAGCTACTCCTTCTGAGTGCTTTCTCTATGAACCAGAGGCAGGATCCTCTGCTTGGATGTGTGACAGAACATATCATGGCCTCAAAGGGTGCCAGGGCTGCATGCCACCATACTACAGCAGATGCAGGGACACACCATGACAGCAGCCAGCAAGGAAGCCTGCGGGCTGTACACAGTGATCTGGCTACAGCCAGAGGAGGCAAGATGCTACATAGAGGACCATCTGATTCTGCTAAGAGACCTGGCCAGAAGTCTTTACGAGGGAAATTCACATTTGAATTTCATAGAAGCAGAAAGGGAAGGTTTCAAAGTCCAGAATCATATTAAGATAGAAAATAAGTTGCACAAAATGTGTTCCGTGACGTCTCAGCAAAATAAACAAGTGTATATTCCCTCAGTGTAGAGTTGTTTATTGTGTATTGTGTCTTCTGCTTTAATGAGCAGATGTAGGACATGATGTAAACATATGCTGTAGCAGGAGCTATTTTGCATATAATACATGTGATAAAGAATGCGGAAACCAGGTACATAGTACCACCTGAAATCTTTTTAGTGTTTTAAAAATCAGTGATGCTGATCTCCAGTAGAATGAATGACAGCTAAGAAAAGCCCACCTACAGACTTACTCTCTGACAACAAGGGTCAAAGTAGGTTCCTAGACAGAGTGAAGGAGCATTTTAGAGACAGTAAATTCCTTTTTGTCTGTTGCTCCGGAAGTCTCTACCAACTGGAAAGGCTTCACACTGAATGTGAGAGAAAAACCTTCAGTACTTTCCTTGAACCCTTATCCCCAAAGGATAGGGATTGCAGGATCGAGAGCTGTTAGCGAAGCAGTTAGCCAGAAGAAAGAGCTTTTGCATTTCTTCCTTCCACAGTCAAAGGATTGCAAAGTCAGCAGTCCTACTGGGCTTCCCATTTCTTAGATACTTAACTGAGAGAGCTGCTCTACCTCATTGTCAAGACAGATGCTAAGTGAAACTGAACACTGTGGCTCTTATCCATGCAGGGGTGAGAAGCTACAGAGGGCATAGGGCCCAAGTATGGGCCAGCCCAAATCATCTTATGGTAATTGCTATTAAACAAAGACACGTGCAATCAGACATGAATCGGGACCCAACAAAAATAGCCACATGGACCTTGTCTTCTTACGGTAGTTTTGGGATAGCTAGCAAAGGAGAACCTAATGGTTCATTTTAATGTTTCAACTTTGAGCCCCAAATTCCCACAGACCCTGAGCTCAAGATGAAAGGCTCATCAATGCTGCCAATTAATCATTAACAACAACTCTCTTATAATAGATCTCAGAGGATACATACACTTCTGCTTCTGGGACCCAGGCCAGAATCCAAATCTTTTGAAAACCAATTATGTGAACTAGGAAATGACAAAGGAAGAGAAAAGTCATTTAACGACACTTGGTTTCAAAAGCTCTGTGCACTCACTACCTGTATTGCATTCAAATTCCTCATTTTATTTTCAGTCCCACTTCAGTGTCACTTCCCTGGGATGCCTCTCCTCAGGTCTGGGCTCACTCTGTTCTCATATACACGTCCAGTACTTCATGAGCCAGCATCTCTTAAATCCCACATCCGTCAATGAGGGCTCAAGATCATCAGTGACACCCCACACAGGTTAATGCACATCCGTGCTTTGTCTCTTTAAGAGGGCTGTGGATTCAATGAGGCTTGCATCTCTCTGGCTGCCATCCCTGACATTCTCTTAGTATAGTACTCAAGAAGTAAAACCTACTCACAAACCCATGGGTAGTAAAGACTGTCTTTCCTATCATAGAAAAGTCAATGTTTTCCTGAGAATGTTTAAAATCAAATTCAACCATACTTGGATGGATGACTTTATATATTCTGGAGTCAGCAAAGCAAGCATCTCAACAGATCTCTCTGAAAGAAGGGAAATATTCCTGTCTCTCTCCATTTATTTTCATGGCCCCTGTCATATGACTCCATGGAGCTACTTAGCTTTCCTTGTTAGTAGGAACTGATTCCCATTTAATTCATACATTTGTATAGTGAGCCCTTTCTTGTACTTATTTTTTTAAATCACTTACAGCACCTGTGTATATATTTATAGTTCTGTCTTTAAAGGAACACCAACTCTTGGAATAAATTTAGATCTGACCTCATAATTGAATTCTATGATAGTCAGACCTAAAAAAAAAAATTCCTGAAGAAAGCCATCTTTAGGACAGGTGAATCCAAAATAAATTCTACCCTGGGATATATAAACAAAGAGAGTTCTTACTATACACAACTTAGAATGAGAAGCAAAATTAAATTAGGGAATGAGTGTGCAGGTGTAAAGACATTCTTTCACTACGTAATACTTGAGAATTCACAGTAGTTTTGCTTTTATGTGAAACCTCATATTAGTGACTCTCTTTTCAGTGGTGAGACTGACCACAGGGGGTAGGCCTTAGAGAAGATGACCTCTTGGTACTAATCCTTCAGGGATACCTGCCTTTTCTGCATGTCCATGATATGAAGAAGACAGTACCTTTAATAGGAGCTCTATAACTTCCGTGTGGACAAGTCCATGCACGGGCTCTCCGTTGATGTGCGTGATCAGATCCCCAGCCTTCAGTCCTGCCTGGCATGCTGGACTTCCTTCTTCTACATTCTAAATTCCAAAAGGAGAGTATATATTTGTAAGCACACTGATGACAACTCAAACACCCAACTGTTTCTTCCATCAGACTACCCTGAGCTACCTTGCAATCAATCCTGTTCCTGACAGGAAATCAAAGTCATGATTCCTATTCCTATTCTCATGTTCTAAGTAGGATAATTCCTATGTTGCCATTAAAAAGAAAAAGCTTAGTGAACTTTGGAAAAAAATAGTGGAATAAGAAATGAAAAAGAGAGTGAAAGAATGTTGTCTGCCTATGTGGCATGCAGAAACACAGATACTGGACAGAATTAGGAGCGATGTTTTTTGTGAAGTCAGATTCATCTATACAGAGGGAAAAGCGCCTGAACAGGTTAATGAAATGCTTCCCAAGGGCCACCAGCTTAACACAAATGCACTGGCTGAGAACAATATTTTTGCCACGTGATCACTCTCCAGTGTGGCTGGGAACAAGAGCTGATGTGTGTGAGATCCTGCGCTTACCCAAACGATGTGGTGCACTGTGTAGATGTCGCTGTCTCCCACGTACACCCGGATGGCTCTGATGGCGAACCCGTAGTTCTTCCCTGAACTGTGGATCACAATGGGCTGATGGGGACTTGCAGAAGCTGCTGAAGAATCTCGGCTGGGCGAGGAATCTCTCGAAGATGAGGGGTCCGAGGACAAGGAGTGGGGAGACATTGGACTGCCCAGAGGAGAAACAGCAAACATATCTGCAACAAAGAAGTCGGCCATCAAAGCCAATCCTGGGTGCACACTTGTCCATGCAGCCAGCCCTCACCATGGGAGCCCTGCCAGGATTGGGAAACAACCCCACAGAACAACCCCATTTATGACCAGTGGCAAAACCAGGAAGAAATTATGCAAAAAACAAAAAACAAAAGGTTTCTATTGGCTCTGGCATGGATTGCAAAACTGAAACCTGTCAAGAAAACAGCAAAAGTGTTTCTATTTAATTTTTCAATTAAGACTCAACAATCATGAGTCTTTCATTCTCTAAACTAATTACAAGACATAAAGATTACTTTCTGACTGTGATATTTTTAATTACAGATACATGCATTCAAGTATGCAGAGAAGAGTGTGTGAACTACAGTTAAGACACGGGATTCCAAATCTTACCCTCAATCATTTCCCTTGGTTCTTTCCAGCCATATATGGCCAGGAAAGCCATGATCAATTTACTACCTGCTTTCTGATGTGGCATTAAAGTACTATTAATTAACACATTTTAATTGGAAAAAACCCACTAACGTGCTAAACTCTTTATAAAATAATTACTATGGTTACAATTGATTCTATTTATTACCTGCAAACACAATTAGTTTTACTGTAGAATAAGGCAGGTAATGTAGATTAATTTAAAGAGCAATTCAGTTCATACCCCAAACACCAATTCTACAATTTTATAAGCAAACTCCTATGTTCTGAATGCCTGTGGTTCTTCCAAAGTTCCAGCTCACTTGTGAGAACACACAGGAGGTACCATCTAGGAAGAAAAAAAAGTTCCCACTCACACCAAATCTGCCAGTCTCTTGATTTTAGACACTGCAGTCTCCAAGACTGTGTACAACAAATCTGCTGCTGACAAATCACTAAATCTAAAGTATTACATTATAGCAGCCTGAACAGCTAAGACATTAGCATATTTTTAATCAGTTCATATCACTATAAATAGGTCTTCACTGGTTATGGGAATTTGTGTGTGTCTGAGAAATGTAGAGAAGATGCTGATGTTTAAATGAAAGCCTAGTCCAGGACCAGGCTATAAGATCCCAGTGATCACAGGTACATGGCACTTCCCACTGTGATTATAGTAAGCTGGAAGTGCACACACTCAGCATGTTCCAGGTCTTAGGTTGTGGGAAGAAGAACAGAGCTAAGCATGCCGCTATCTGCGTTCTTCTACTCTGGTTTCAATGTGCCCCTGGCCACTTCTGTTTGCTGGCTACCTTCTGTCTAATCCCTAGCTACAGGCCAGGCGAAGAGAGGCACCACAGTAAGCAGTGACATGAGTGGGAAGAGGACAGAGTGAAAGAGCCAGTTCCCTAATTCTCCATCCCACGTTGATCTCCCTTATCTCCCCAAAGTGATTTAGTTTCCGCTACTAAAGAGTGGGCTGTCTCATCTGCTTTCAAGAGATGACCGCATGGGCTGGGAATATGGCTCAGTGGTAGAGTGCTTGCCTTGCATGCATGAGGCCCTGGGTTCGATTCCTCAGCACCACATAAGCAAAAAGAAAAAAAAAATCATTCAAGAGATGACCGCACCATGCCTAACTCTCCTGCTGGGCAGATGGACTGCGGCCACTTCTTGGGTTATGATGGACCATTCAGACTAGTGACACAGATCTCCACTTTATGGTGCTCAACAAAATGTCACTCAGGAAAGAAATCTACTAGAGTGAGCGCTATCCCCAAATGAGCATTTGTTTATATCCAATTTCTTTCTGCATAAATATGGAATTTCAATAAATGTAAACAATCCCTTTCGTGCATGGCCACATCCTTCCCAACACAAGCCATCTGCAAACATAATTTTGCTCCACTTGCTCCCTTCTGCTGTCATTGTCATGATGTCACCAGCACAAGGGTGTCTATTTCATCCTCACCACAGAAGGACCACAGGAGTAACCAGCCGAGGTGAAATCGATCTAACCCAACTATGATGAAGCTGTTTCCAGGGGGAATTTTTTAAAAAGTGCCAAGAACAATTTATCTACCATTAGGAGGAAGCAGACCCCAACCCACAGGATTGGGGAAAGCTTCAAATTCTTTCAGGGCCATCTGTGATGCTCTGCATCTCCAGAAATGCAAAAGTTTACACTCTATTTGTCTATTTCCTCATTAATTAGCTGTGAAAAGCTATACTTAAGCTTCCAACACAGATGCTGTATACAGCTTTTTAAAGTATATACATGATATATAGTCTAGAGAAGAAAAATTATTCCAGGGAGGGAAATTCATCATTCTCCTTGGAGGGAAAAAAAAAAAAATTCATAGAAAGAACGATTTTCTCATTTCCTGATACAGAATGTGAGAGGAAAGTCCCTGTCTGTTTTCTTTGGAACTCCCAAAGGTCCTATAGGGAGAAATACGGGGTCTGTAGGCAGTCCTGAAGATCTTAACAGTTTTTCTGAGACACCACCCATGATAGATTTGAGTGATCTAGCATCTCCACCAGCATTCAGAATGCGGGGAAGTGGAGGGAGGACAGGGCACACATGCACAAATGCATACATCACACCATTTCATGCAAGTAGACATCTCTCTACCTCCTGGGATCATGAGGGACAGAGCACTGGCAGAAAGGGACTTTGTGACTTTCCCCGAGATTTTCTTTCTCTCTGTGCTTTCTAATCGCTGTCGAGCCATGTGAGAAGCGGATTCACTGGAGGGCTTGGAGGAATTATCTGTACTGTCCACACACTCGCTCCGTCCATTTATCTGATCCAAGTGCTCTGAAAAACTGCCAACTGAACAAAGAAGAAGGAACAAACACATTCAGGAAAATCTAGGACAGGAGAGGTGGAGAAAGGGTGAGAAGGGAAGGAAGGATAAATACTGGGAAACATACTCATGGTTAGCTGAGTCCATCTGGTGTCAGGCCAACAGGAAAAACACATGATTGGTTAGGAGAAAGGAGAGGTGGAGAAGGAAGAGATGAAAGAGGTATCAGTTCAGCCTTGGTTCTCCTTGTACACATGGCTGCTAAATTCTCAATCAATTCTCAGATCCAGTTAAGAACATATGTACAGCGGCTTCTTTAACCCCCAAGACCAGCATTTCCTTAGAATCCCCATGATCAACCATATTATACTCTGGTACTGATGATAATCAGCAATGTTGCTAAAAATTTTCATCACAGAGTCATCCTGAATCACTCTCTGCCCAAATCTGCATCCTTCTCAGACATACCTCACCTGGGCCCCAGTTAAGATGGTAGAGTATGCACCACCCAAGTAGCTGGGATTACAAGTGTAAGTCACTACTCCTAGCTTCTGTTTTCCCTTTGGTTAAAAACCAATGACAACACATTGTCATCCACTGAGAAGAGGCAATGTGTATCTCATAAATTCTATCAAAAACAGAAATATAACATTTCTAAATTCATATCATAAGCTTGTGGTACTTAAAATCCCTCAACTCCACTAAAATCTGAAGATCTACAATCCATGCAGAGAATGTCACACCACTGTGCAAGAGCCTCTGAAAATCTATCCCGAACACTTAAAAATGCTGACTAAATGACATTCTTTGCCTAGTAGAGCACTGGCCTAATTCAACAAAACAAATACTTCATTTCAGCTGAAATGTTACAACACATGACTATCCAGTTCTTGTCCTTTCTAGTCCATGGAGAGAGACACACTTCACGGTTCTAAGGTTTCTTCTAAGAGAAGCCTGAGACAGGAGGGCAGGGATGGGCAGAGGTTCCTTCCGGACTTTCCTGTAAATCCACCTGACCAATCAAAGAAGACAATGTTAAAGCACACAGCAACAATCTTTTTGCTCCGGTGTGCTAACATTCTTACCTAACAGTTTATTCTATTCCTTACAAAGCCATCAGTTGTCTGCAGAACTTGTTCAGAACTGCTTCACTAGTCAAAACTTTCGTGTCTCCAAACTTCAGCTTACTGCTGGGTGACTCAGACACTACCTTTCTCTTTGGAACTGGTTTGGATAGGCTAAATGACAAGAATAAAATGATAAATACACAGCGGAATCTCTTCACAGTGACCAGTTATTGGGTACATTCAGGCACCATACCTATCTACAATTTCAAGGATTCAAATACAATGTAGTCATGAAAAGAGAGAGAGAGAGGCATAAAGTTCACTTTCCTAAGTGTCTAGGCACCATTTCCCCCTCGCTCATCTTTTCCTCTTCCCTCCATCATCTCATCGAATTGCATCTGAGTATACACTTCTTTACTGCCAATGATGGATAATGTCACCTTAATGTTCTCTAAATGTCAAGGGTTCCTTCCTTTTGATGGTGGAGCAATATAAAAATCAACAAATTTAATTTTACTACAGTCACGGTTTTCAGGTTCCCTAATTACCCTTGGCTATAAGCAAATCAACTCATCTCTCTATTCTGTACAGACCCCTGGGTCTTTGATTATTTTTAGTGTGTGTATGGGGGAGAGAGAGAGAGAGAGAGCGAGAAAGGTGGTTTGAAACTATTAATCAAGATGCATGGCAGGACCCAGGCAGAGACTTTTTAATTATGAAAGTAATCAATCAAGTGTTTAGACATTCCTCCCCTCCCTTCACCTCCTACCTTTCTGATGGTGAGTATCTAGAGGTTTTAAGGAAGAGCAAACAATTCACCACATCAAGGACAGGACAACCAGCTGGGGAACTTTGTAACCAAGAATGCAAAATACTGAAACATCTACACTTTCTATGATCACCAAGAACTAAAAATGATCAGGCATTGTAGAATAATATATGTCTCTACACTTACTTCTATGTTGCTATTCTCCTGGCTTTACAGTTTGAATAAGTGAAATTATCCAATAGGAAGAGATGTGAGGTGAAAAGAGAAATGAAGAAAATATGACATTTTTTTCTCCCAAATTGATTCTAACCAGATATGAAGCTCTTCTCCCTCTCCTTCTCCTTCTTCTTCTCCTAATTTCTCTCCCCCTCTCTCTTTCTCTCTCTCACTCCACCTTCTCTCCACCTACCTTTCCTTTTCCTTCCCTTAGGGCATTCCATTTGCTAAGTGGGTGCTCTACCACTTGAGTCATGCCTCCAAACAATTTTTGCTTTACATTATTTTTTGCCTGAAGTCAAGCTAGGACCATCTTCCTCCTTCCTATGGCTTTCCTTATAGCGGGGATAATAAATGGTACCACTATGCCAAGATTATTTTGTTGAGATGAGACCTCACATTTTCGCCTGGGCTGTGGGGCTGTCTTTGACCGGTGCTGCTCTGGATCCCTGCCTCTTGAGTAGCTGTGTATACAGGGTATGGGCCACCAGGCTTGGCAGATCCAAATTCTTTAGTGAGGCTGAAATAAGCCTAGCTTGTAAATCTGTTGGGATTTTCTTTTTTTAGGTGATTTTTTTTTCCAAAATAACTTAGGCTCTGCATATTTACTTAGTTTAAAAATGTTGAGGGAAATTCTTGGAATTATTTATGGTTGTCAATATAGCATATTGAATATGGTTTAATGAAAACATTTATTCTAGCAACGCTAAGCCATACTATGTTTCATTTTTTGCAAAAGTATAAATATGCACTGCTTGCTAATAGCAGGGTATACTGTGTATAACACCTTTGATAAATCAAATGATATTTTAAAGACATGTTCTGAGGGAACTCCAACAGTATGTTTTGTCTGCCATGGAGCTGCTTTATGTGCAGTGCAAAAAGACAGCACATGAAAGCACATTGTTGTTTTTTTGTTTGTCTATTTGTTGATGGGTCCTGGGGCTTGAACTCAGGGCCTGGGCACTGTCCCTAAGCTTTTTCACTCAAGGCTAGCACTATACCACTTTGAGCCATAGCGCCATTTGTGGTTTACTGGTAGTTAATTAGAGAGAAGAGTCTCAGGGACTTTCCTGCCTGGGCTGGCTTTGAACCATGATCCTCATATCTCAGCCTCCTGAGTAGCTAGGATTAGAGGAAAGAGCCACGGGCACTAGGCCGCACATTGGTTTTTCTGCCTCACTCTCCCTTCTGCAGTCTTATATAGGCTGGAAGCTATCCTGTGAGTCTCACAGAGAGGGTATCAGGAGGCACCGAGTTTGAGTTTCTATACCATACTGTCAGAGCAATCAGGTCAGGGTGGGCAGAAAAGCTCACTTTATATTGTACCATATGGGTGACTGAAGGTATTTGTGAATATAATTTTGGTGCTATGATCATCTGGTATTTTGTCTCACTCCAAACTCTTGGGTTGCACGCCATCCTGTAAGACATACCTTTACATCAACAACTAGGACCATCCTCTCCTACATTATCCAGTTCTGATTGCTAGGGATCCCACTGAAGCCAGCTGTGAAAGAGAGGCTGGAAAAGATCAGACCCCAGCCAGCGCGGAGGAGGGGGCTGAGGCATGTGACCTGTGTCCCTCAGCCCCAAATGAGAAGCTACAGGATGATTATAGAAACATGGGATCTTCACCTTCACCACCTGGCCAGATCAACACCAGAACCACTTCTCAGTGTGGCACCAGCAGTGCCAGCACCTTACCTGACAGGGTGGAGCTGCTGATAGTGCTGGCTGGGGTGGTGACCTCAGCCTCCTCTTGGGCACATTCTTCGGGAGGAAGAACTGGCTTTTCAGGCTCCTCACGGGGGTCTCCAAGGCAGGGGGTGGCTTGATCTTGCTCTCCCTCTGTTGAAATAGCCAGTTTGGGAAGTAGGCCGGAGCTGAGTTTATGTCTGCTGCTATCAGTATCTGAAGAGTTGGAGGCTGATAACTGTTGCCTTAAATTGAAAACAAAAGCAAAGTCAACTATATAAACTGGAAAACAGATGAAAGCATATGTTCGGAAGAACCAGGTAACAACATTCTTGGGTGTGCCTGACCATGACACATATATCTAGTGCAATAGTTGCTGAGGTGTGGTACCCATGGATGGGAGGCGTCAGCATGGCCAGGGAACTCACTGGGAGCACACATCCTCAGGACTCACTCCCCATCTACTAACTGGCTTGGAAACTCCTTGGGAGAATCCAGCATCTGTATTTCAACACCCCTACCTCCTCAAGAAATTCTCAACAACAACAAAAAAATCCCAAAGCTGCTTTGGCTACTGTGCAGGTGGCTATTTAGGAGGCATCTCACATACACTTCAGAATACTCCGAACTCCAGCTTAATGTTTCCGTGGATGGCAAAGGTGTGCTTTTGGCTTTGTCCCCAGAGTCGTCTTTCTCTTCTCCTGAATTCTGAGTTATTCGATCTATACTGCTGAAAACCTGGAAGGCAAAATAATCAGTGCTTGTAAATATCTTCTACAAAGAGCTTGTCAGATAAAGCTTCTTGACTTGAGAGGTAAAAATAAATATATAAACAAACAAAACTGAGTTTATGGCTGAAGTGTGAACTGTGACGAGGTATCCAGAAAGTTCTTGCAATGTTGTTTGTATGACTTCTGAAATGAAGGGTCTGAATGTGTATGTTATTTCTTTTTTTTTCCAGTATAAAAGCTATCAATCTTGAAGTCCCTGTACCCAGTGTCTTGGGTTTCAGATGTGTGAATAAAATCTATAGACATAGCCTGAGGATCATTGCCTATCTCTGATTAATGTTTGATCATAGTGCTAATAAAAAAGAGGGGAGGGGAAATAACACAGAAAGGTTGATTAGCCACCAGTCAGAGGTAGGAAGGAATTGAGTGCAAAGGGAAGAATGACTGATCCATTTCAAGATTTGGGTGGGAAGGTCCACAAGGCAGGTGTACCCTATATCCTTGGTGCTAAGAGCCAGGATAACTTGTCTGGCTTACAAATCACCTGCAGTGAGTCAGGAAGCTTCCTGTGCAGATTCTGAGATTCCTTCAGCAGACCAGAGATTAGCTCTCCTCATTTCAGAATCTTTGCAATCTCAAATGAAAGATGGGAGGCATCAACTTCCCATGGGCAGTGGCGGGGAGGGGAGGGGGTATATACCCCATGGCTCTGCTCAGCAACTTGCCCTCACACCTGCGATCTACTGGGATTGGGAGAAAAAAGATTAGGCTAGAGAACAGAAGGTGGGGGAAAAAATGAAACACTTTGCAAGGCAAAGCAGGAAGCAGTATTTAAAAGCCCTGGATTTGGTAGGATGGGCAAACAGTTGTGTCCAGATTTGGTGTTAGCCAAGCTTTGTCCTAGCTCTAGACAGGCTAGCCACCATACTCTCCAACAATACCTCTGCGACATTCTTATAAACAGAGAGGGTAAGCACTGGCCAATTTGCAGATGCACTTTGGGTAATCAACTTAGAAAAACCTACAGAGCACTTTAAAATCATGAAAAGCTATAGAAAAGCTAAATAGTCATCATGCATGGTACCATGGCAACAGAAAACATGTAGCAACTGAGAATAGCAAAAGGGAGGTAGGCTGCCCTTTAGGTTTATTTCTGTGTTGTTTTTTTTTTAATAATAAGTTTTTTTACTGTGAAAATGCTGTATAGAGGGGTTACAATTACATGAGCAAGGTAATGAGTACATTTCTCATCAAGCATTGTTGCCTCCTCCTTTGTTTCCCCTTACCATCCCTGCCCTCCCATTCCCTTCCCTCCTCCACCCCCCTCCCCGCCCCCGTTGTAAAGTTCATTTTTTGACATAACGATTTTTACATCTCATTGTTGCAATGGGTCTACCTGTATCCCTATTTAAACAATTTGTTTTTTCCCTTCCCCTCCACAAATTATACCAACATCAAATACAGTGAAAAAGGTTGTACCATGTGGGAGGGACATACAAAGCAACAAAGAAATCATCTTATAAATATGTTAGAAACAATAGAAGAAAGAAAAACATTTGAGTCCTTTCCTCCCTCTCTGAACTACCAATTTCCTTAAATTAAAAAAAAAAAAGAATTTAAAAATCTTACTGTCTGTAAAAAGCTATTTTTCTCAAGCATCAATTTTATTGTTTTCTACCTTCCCCCAAATTCTAGTTTGGCTTCCTACTGACATTCATTATAGCTTACAATTTATATTACTGACTAAATAGTTTTCCTTGGGGAAAGAGGCAAAAAAATTTCAAGTTTGAGGCTAGCCTGTATTACACAGACAGACCCTGTCTCAAAAAGGAAAACACTAAAACAAAAACAAACAAAACCAACTTTCGCATCTCATAATCAGTGGTCCCAAGGTAGCATGTGTTCTTTCAAGGACTCGAGGAAAGAGCTCTCTACACAACAAACTCACATTCTACCTTATAAGATAATTAGGAAATGGAAAGAATTGGAAAAAATTATATTAAGTGAAGTAAGCCAGGTCCAAAGAAACATAACTCCCAAGGTTTCCCTTATTTTCAATAACTAGTATATGTCTGGGACAAGCAGAAAAGGTCAAAAGCTATGTACATATGACTAGTTAAGATGATGTTAGCGAAATCAACCCCAAGATAGGGACACAGTGTTTTTTTCTTTCTTGCTATTGTTTCTAACCTATTTATAATGTACCATGTGATTTTTTTGTTCCTTTGTATGTTCCTCCCCCACAGTATAACTCCTATTTTCACTGTATTTGATATTGGTGCCCTGCATCTTGTGTATACACTTCTCTAATTTTGGGAGGGGAAGGGGAAAAAAAACAAAATGTTTAAATAGGGATACAGGTTGACCCATTGTAACAATGAGATGCACAAGACACTATGTTGAAAAACAAACTTTACAATTTAGGTGGGGGGGGGGTGTAGTTGTGGAGGTGGGAGGGAAGGGATGGTAGGGGAAAAACAAAGGAGGAAGCAACAACGCTTGCTAGGAAATACACTCATTACCTTGCTCATGTAACTGTAACCCCTCTGTACAGTATTTTTACAATAAAAACTTAAAAAAAGAAAGAAATGAGTGAGGCTTCCACAGCCTGGCTTGGCAACAAGCATGCTCATCAGATAAACAGCTACCACAAAGAGATGACTATAGATGCAACTCCATGCCTCAAAAACAAAACAACAGCTAAAAAATAAACCCACCCAAAACAAAAACATCCTTTTCTGTGTGCTGGTACTGGGGTTCTCGTTTAGTTTCTCCCATCCCACACCCTAAGGCTGGTGCCCTACCACTTGAACCACATCTCTATCTACTTCCAGATTGTTGTTGGTTACTGAACATAAGAGAGTCTCCAAGATGCATCTCCCTGGCTTTTAACCTAGATTAAAAGCTTCCTGCGTGTAGCTAGGACTATAGACATGAACCAATGGTGCCCGTTAAAAATTTATTTTTGAAAAAGAATCTTAATTTGTAGAGAGAGAAATACTTCCACACTAGAGTGGAGACTCCTGATTATCAAGAGGATGAGGTCATTTTTCCTGACTGGAAAAGAGTTTTATAAGCACAGGAGAGCTCCAGCCCATCTAATAAGGGTAGGTGGGAGACTCTTGCAGCGTCTCTGAACATCGATGGCCCATGCAACTTACTTTTGAGAACCTGTGTGAACAGGAGGAGAACTGCCGTATTTCCACGGTGAAATCTTCATCATTTGTGTCATCTTCTTCCTCCGTTTCCATGTGATGGTATTTCTCTGATCGAGCTGTACAGAAATGGTTAGGGACAATACCAATTACTCAGAGTTTTGGCTTTTAATTTAGGTATTTTAATTACTTATTTCTGTATCATCTATTATGGGTCCCATTATGTTTAAAAACGTGTAGGTATGAGATTGGAAGGCTCAAAATTGGATTTATTTTAAACAAAGTAAAAGCCAAATGAAGTCTTATGTCAGATAATGCACATACTATCAAAATAACTCGTGTCATCCTCGGATTCCAGTTGGGGAATGAATTCTGCCTTCTGTCTCAGCAAACTGTTCCAGTCTAAAGAGCGGAAGAAGCGATGCTGCTTGACTTCATAAGCTCCACCTGGAAGTGGGGAAGCAGAGGCAGAGAGGAAAGGGTGAACTATCCTCCAAGGGAAGGTGAACTGCGGGTCTTGGGAACAACTCAGCAGAGAATAAGAAACAACATAGAAATCGTAACTTTTTCACTTGACTACCAAAACCCAAAAAATTTTGCTTCCATAATCCATCAGCTGGGGATGTGATTTTGCTAACAGCAGTGTGCTAAGGCACACGGTGTCTCCTTGTTAATTTTTCCATGACTCCTTCCATTTTTCAAAGGTTAATGATGTGGCCACTTAAAATCACATCATGCAGAACCTAGGGATCTGGATGCATGTCTGCCCAAAGCAGGCTCACTCATTACAAACCCAGAAAAATTCTAACAAGGTGCAAAATGTGCTCACAGCACTATGTCCTCTGGAGGTGAGGTTAACAATGATGGATTGTTCCTAAATACCATATAACAGTTACCATTCAATTTTATTGGATTGCTCATTAGCATATGTAGGAATTAGATTCTTTGGCTTAGATTCCTAAGTAAGGGACTGATGGCATGTTGGATAGATTTATAATGCATCCAATAAAAAAAAAATCAATCAATTCCTAAATCCAGGCTCCTCTTGCCAAATCAGCATAACAGCACAATTTGATGAGTTTTTTTTTAATTCAGTTCATGACTTTTCAAGGAAAGGACTTATAGAGAATATTAACACTACAACTCACATAAAGAGAGGTGTGACATAAAATCATGGCGTGATATAAAAGTCAGAGCATGAGAATCAGGCCCCTACCCTGCCACGAGCATCACACTGTTCATGAGAGAGAGAACAAAGAACAGATTCTGCAAAAACACTAGGAAGAAAGATTTCTGAAAAGACAACCCCCAGGGTCCAAATCAGCCTCCCCATAGGCTATCTCTTCTGGTTGGAATGTAGTTGTCACTCATGCCTCCATCCTATCCTTTGTGGGACACAAAAAGAACAGCTAGAAAGAAATGCAAGCTAGATGGAAAATGGGCTGGGGATTTTGTTCCAAGAAAGGATTCTGTCGATGTCTTTCAAAGATGTGGTTCTGTCTGTATTGGGCTCCTCTACTACAAGGCACAGTTCTGGCTCTCCCCAAAAGAAATCCAGACAAGGGTAACTGGAGCTCTGAGGACAAAGGTGTGCACAGAGAAAAGAAAACAGGAAACTCACCCTAAAAATAGGGAGAGTGGATTCTTCTTTATAAAGCAATGGATAAAAATGTATATTGAAGATTCTGCCCAGGTGTTTTCCATGTTTCTAGCACTGGGGTGAAGCATAACAGCTGTGTATTAGCAGCTATGGTTTGTGGGCCAATTCTATGCCAGTGTGATATCTGGCAGAGGTATCTTTTTAAAAAAAAAATTAGATCATAGAAAGTAACCCCCCAAAGTAGGCATCATCCACTTCATTTTTAAATGTGGAAAATGAGGAAAAATTACACTGAGAGAGTAAGCATGGGAGGGCTAAATCTAGGTAAAAATATTCAGGTGTAGACAGTGCTACAAGTTGTTGTTGTATATAATGGGAGGCATGCTGTGCTTTGCTTCATCTCCACTTTTTCTTCTGCACCATTTTGACATGGATCCACATTCACCTGGCCATTCCACAATAGGCCAGCACATTCCATTCCAGTTCACCGTGCGTTCTAGGTCCCAGTCAATTTCCCCAAATGCAGCTGCCAGTGTCATTTTCTTCCAGTATCCAGTAGATATAAAGGCCAAGAGAGCTTAAGTGCTTCCCTGTCCCATTCCCTCACCAGGCAAACAGCACTAAAGTTCACACCATCAGGCTCTGATGTGTATCTCATACGACACATCTCTGGGCTCTTGTTCCAGCCATGGTTCCACTTTGATGATGATTAGCATTTCAGCTGCTGCTCAGCTTAATCCAGAGATGCAACTATTCCCAGGTGAAGGTCTCAGATGGTGCTTCTGGACCACAGCACTGCTCTGTCTTCCCTCCCCTGGAACTCTACAAATAGATGATCCCAAGGAGTCACAGTCTCCTGAGGACCTACCACATATTTCTTACCCTTTGGTTTTTGTGTCCCACTGAGAACTTGGTTATAAGTGGGTTCTGTTTCTGAAGTCCTAACAGAGAAGAACAGAAGGGGAAAAAAAGGGAAAAACTAGGAGAGGAGAAGATGACCTCAGGCTTCAACTATTATCAGGAATATAGTTGAAGACATATGAGCTAAACACAAATTGTTCATATGAAGATAGTTCACCATGGAGAAAAGAGGTGAGAAAGAGAAGGATGTGGAGTATATCTTGAGCTCCTATGATGTACAAGGTTCAAAAGCTAGAAACTGTTAGGACTTTTGTAGGGGTAGGGGGTGATACTGGGGATTGAACCTAGGGCCTCACACATGCTAGGCAAGCATGGTATCCTTTAAGTCTTATCACCAGTCCTTTGGCTTTATATTTTGTTTTTTGAGATAGGGTCTCATTAGCTTTCCCCAGGTTGGCTGCTCTCTTCATTTCATGTAGGCTCTTCGTGTATATTTCTGCATTTACTCCTTATGATAATCTTGACATCTTCATAGACAAGGAAGCTGAGGCTACGGACAAGGAAGAGATTACTCAGGACTCCACCACTGGGGATCCTGGTAACAGTCACCATTGAGCAGCTTTAAGTTCCAGTGGGCCAGGCTGCCACTCTGTAAATTCAAGAGTATAGTTCAAGTAGGACAAAGTCCCCAAATTGCAAGCTATGTTTTGGCACTAATGTATTTTCTCCCTTGAGTTTTCTCTTTCCATGGAAGTTTCTTAAACATCCATTATGATCTTCACACCATTTTTCTCAGCCTCTCTGGTCTCTTGGGGCAAATGTACATTCACACATTTTCATGATGCATTATTTTGCCCACTAAATATACGTTAAATACGAAATACTGTCGCTGGAAGCAGCCTGGCAGGGCTGCAGGAGCCTCAGCCTCATTCTCTGGGTCCTATTGAGAGCTGTCATGTTGGACTTGCTTGTTTGGCAGACACTTCTTGACAATGTTAAGAGCTTCAGCAGGGTCTTTTAAATGTCTCTTTCAGACTTCTGCTAGGGGGTTTGTTCCTCAAGCTGTCAAAACCTGAAAAGGCTGAATGTAGCAGTCAACAAGAAAATGCGCAGAGAAATAACTTGCAGCATATGATACATAAACATGGGTATGCTGACCACCATCCAGGCTCTGTCTTGTTAAGCCTAATAGGGAATCTGAGTATTCTTAGAGGAGGGAAAGGGGTAGAACAGCATGTAGAAAACCTCTCCAAACTGGCATTTGAACAGTGAAGGATGAAGGTTTCTGAGTCTCCTTCAGAAAGGGTGTGTCCAACCAAATATACTTTTAGTCAGATCTTAGGAGGCCCTTTCTCCGGGTCAGTTGAACAGAATATCTAAATAGATTTTTGTATTATCACAGGGCAATCTTCAAATGCCACTGCTTCTCATTTTTGGCTCCAGTGAGTAAAAAATCACTCCTTCAAAGTCTGCCCCATATACAATCTTGACACAAATTCTTTGACAGCTACTTGAATCTCTTGATCAAAAGCCGATCTGACTGCAGGACACGGAGGACAGGAAATATCAAGTTTGCTTATCATTCCAGGCAAGTGTAAAAGCAAACAGTGGTGAGGCAACATAAAGAGGTTCAGTCAGGTGGAAGGTAGTGGTACCACCACTATGCTAGTATCTGATTATGTCCCCAAAAAGGTGAGATTTCTTTTTTTGAAATGCAGAAAATTCAAAATGGCATCATAGGCACCACACCTGGTTCCAAGAACCATACCTGGATAACCTCGTTGTATCCTCACAATAATCCTATAAGATGCTTTTTCCTTTTTTTGGTTTTTATTTTTGCTTTTGGTGTCAGTCCTTGGCCTTGAACTCTGGGGCTGGACATTGTTACTGAGCTCCTTTGCTCACGGTTAACACTCTACCACTTAAGTCAAAGTTCCACTTCTGGTTTTTTAGGGGGCAGAGATTTGGAGATAAGAGTCTCATGGACTTTTCTGCCCAGGTTGGCTTGGAACAGATCTCAAACTCTGGAGTAGCTAGGATTACAGGCATGAGCCACCAGTACCCCACAGAGATGCTATTTCTAAAGGTTTCTTTTTAGGGCTGGGAAGGTGGCTCAGTGGCAGAGCTCTTGCCTTGCATACATGAGGCCCTGGGTTTGAGGTCCCTCAGCACCACATAAGCAAAAAGAAAAAAGCCAGAAGTGGCACTGTGGCTCAAGTGGTAGAGTGCTAGCCTTGAGCTGAAGAGCTGAGGGACAGCGCCCAGGCCCAGAGTTCAGGCCCCATGACCAGACCCCCCCTCCAAAAAGTAAAATAAATAAAGGTTCCTTTTTATGCATGAAGAAACCTACCACATGGCCACAGAGCTGATAACTCAGACCATCTGATCCAGTTTGTGTCCTCAATCCTGATTTACAATGACTCAGTAAAGGTCCACCTACCACTGAAAGAATGGAGAGGCATGGGGATTCCAGTATGAGGTCTGGCTCAAACATCACCTGGCTAACCCTTCATTTTTTTTTTTTTTGGGGGGGGGGGGGTTCCAGTCATGGGGCCTGAACTCTGGCCTTGGCGCTGTCCCTCAGCTCTTCAGCTCAAGGCTAGCGCTCTACCACTTAAGCCACAGCGCTACTTCCGGCTTTTTTCTTTTTGTTTATGTGGTACTGAGGAATGGAACCCAGGGCCTCAGGCATGCAAGGCAAGCGCTCTACCACTGAGCCACCTTCCCAGCCCCTAACCCTTCATTTTTAAACCTTCTTGAATTCTCTGATGCAGGTTGGGCATTTTAGTCTTTGTGGACCAAACTGCTATGACTAATCAGCTCTGCAGTCAGATGTAATACTAAATAAATAATGGCATTGTGTTTTAGTAAAAACAGATAATAGGCCAGATTTGGCCTGTAGATGACAGTTTGGCAGTTCCTGTTCTTACGTATTGTTGTAAATTCTAGGAATACATCAGTCCATACTAAGTAACAACAGAACCCCCAACAAGGATCTGTGGTGAATGAGGAAAATAATAGTTGTTTGGAACTGTCATAAAGGGATTTTATGTTGGAAAAAGTGTAGGAAGAAATTATTAAGTATTTTTCCTGATATTTCTGCTTAAATGGGGTAGCATGAGACCATTTAGAGAGTAGATATTCTTTACAATCAACTATTTCACTGAGAAAAATAACGCAGCCTGAGATAAATTCATATACTCAGGTATCCTGGGATCTCTAATCTGTCTATCCAAAATCTATGCAAGAAAAGAAAACATAAAATAGTCAAGAAAAATAACCCATAAGAAATGAATCTCCTATCTCCTTCATCTTGAAAGGCAGTGGTGTTTAATAGTCTTTCTAGGGTCACAGTACTGATCACTGTGATAGGATAGCATAGTTCAACCCCAAGCTATCATTTCTAGTAATTAGTTTGAGTACTGATAACCCGTTTCAAAGCCTGTGGATAATAACATGCTGGGTTAAATCCTTATGGAACATATTAAAACAAAAGGAAAAGTGCACCACTTATTTGGGCATCACTGTCATGTTAGTTAAGATGCATGTTTTTCAAGACAGAAGAATTGCATATATTCTTGGGATTTTTTTTTATTAAAGCAAGTGAAGAATGTCTGTTTTGCAAAATACAAAAACAAACAGTAGCCCTCGTAGGGTCTATGCTACTCTGAGACAACAAAAACAAAAACAAAACAAAAAAAAAACACAATCCAAATAATATTGCTCTAATGTGTTGCTGTTATGTCCTACATCAACTAACAGATGTTGCCTATGCAAAAAACAAAACACAAACAATGCCCCAGATTGCTCCAGAAGACATTATATCTGGCATATTGGGGGGAAACAAATCACGATGCATGTGCTCTAACCTGTTCCCAGCCTCTCCAGGGGATTCTGCCTGAGCAGCAAAGTAATCAGATCCTGGGCATCCGGTGGTGGGGCCTCATCCTTTTCAGGCCAATTGATTTCATCTAGAAAGAAGAAAAGTCGTTTATAATTTTATTGCTCGAAGGGTGGTCCAGGTCCCTGTCTACAGCCTGAGCCTAACCTGGCTTATGAAACCAGATTCTGCATGTTAAGTCCTTTACTGGACTTGAATGTACAGCCAGGCCAGAGTAGTGTTAATTTAATAGAACAGAAATAGTATGGCTCTGCACAGGGTAGGGAGGAAAGATTTTAATAAGAATTATGTTTTCACTTTTCTGATTTATATTTCTGTGGGCAGAATTGGCTCCCAACAAGTCGCCCCTTCTGTTTATTAAGAAGATTTAATAGAACAGAAAGTAAACACCTGTGTTCAGATGCCTGCCTATGAGGGATCATCTAAGAGTGAAATTTTTTTGTCTCATTTTGCTGTGGCCACTGACTTCCTCAGCTCCAGGAAATAAAAAATTATTTTGCCAAAAAAAAGAGAAAACAACAACAACAACAACAAAAACCTTCTAAAGTCAAAGGAAAGGCTAGAATGCTAAGACTAAAAAGAAGAGACATACCCAAGTCATCATAATAATGGGAGCATATAAACTCTGTCATAGATATTAGAATATGTTCTTATTCTAAAAGAGATTTTGCCTAAAGATAGGTGTGCATGCTTGTATGTAATAAATGCAATAAAAACATGAGTTATTTCTGTGTGTGCCTGCCTCTAGCTTCCTCTGCTGCAGTTTAAATCTGATTTGGAAAATAAAACATGAATATGCATCAGAGCCGTAAGGCATCCAGAACAAAGCCAGCATTTGCTGCTTGTGTTAATTAAACAGTTGATTCCCCTTGCCATTCAGGCCTTGGTATGTGAGAAAGCAGCCTAGTTATAAATCCATAAAAAGCGCAGATATTGTATAAACCGGTTACTCACTGCAGGCGACTCACAAATCTACTTTGTTAAAGTTTACAAATATACTTGGCTTTCAAAGTCAATGTTAGAAAGTAACATGATGATTAAGGGGCTCAAGCATAAGCACAATGATTTTTTTCTGTGTTCCATTGTGGACTCTGGAAATACAGACCAGAAGGGACTAGAAGTAGTTGATGGACATGTTAGGGCTGTCTGACCAACTTCAGGAAAAGAAGCCTTGTTCAGCTTTGCTTTGGGGAAATTGACAAAATCAGCAGGTAAGATAGTGATGGATACTATTTAATTATCATTTAGCTTTGCCACAAGCCTCATAACAACAGTAAGGGTCAGCTTGCAGGTTAAGATCTAAAGGTTATTGAATTTTAAATGAAAGATGAACAGCTGTTACAGAAATAACATTATACCATAACAACTACCAATGAAATCATTAACAATCTGTGGATTCAATTTGCTTCCTTCCCATTCTCATTATTTATTATTTGGAAGACATTTGTTATAGGGTTTATTACATTTTTTTGTTAATTTCTTCAGTGTGCCATTATCCATTCTTCCCATTTATATAACTGTTTCCCACATTAACCTTTTTTTCCCTGGTGCAATTTTCCTATTATAGGAAGGAAAACTAGATGACAATTAAATCATTTGTAAATCCCATACCAATTTCTTTTGCAAAAAAGAAAAAAAATAGTACACGATAAAAGTTGGAGCCATAGCCAGCACACTTCCCAATTCCATGCTAACAAAATTTCCTCAGATCAGTTTTCAACACATATTACCCTTGAGATTGTGAGAGTCAGTTTATGGGCTATGATGAGTGAGTTCTTTAATTTGTTGGCTTAACTGTTTGATAAAGGTTAACATAATAGTAGTAAAAATTGTGATTCTCAACAGATTTATATAAAATAGTTGCTCTGAACTAGTAGCTTCAATATTAACTCCTGATGATACTTACCACTGATGACTTGTCCAAATAGCTCTTCGGGGGTGTCCCCAAAGAATGGTACGCATCCAACTAGAAATTCATAGAGAATAATTCCCATGGCCCACCAGTCCACTGGCTTCCCATAGCCTTGTCTCAGGATTACTTCTGGAGCAATATATTCAGGTGTGCCACAAACCTAAAGATGATTGCATTATTAGAACAACTGGAATATTAGAAATGAATTAAGATCAAGATGGCTAAACCCAATTATTTTGCCTAGAGAAAACCTGTTCAACTTTATGGAATCACGTGAAAATGATCTTAACACTAGCAATTAAAAGTTGGGTGCCATAATCCTAGCTACTCAGGAAGCTGAGCTCTGAGGATAGCCATTCAAAGCCAGTGAAAGCAGAGATGTCCATGAGACTCTTCTGACTTCCAAAAATCCAGAAGTGGAGTTGTGGCTTAAGTGGTAAAGCATCAGCTCTATCACCAGGAAAAAGCTAAGGAACAGGGCCCAGACCCTGAGTTTAAGCCCCGATCCCAATGGGCACATGTATGTTAGTGCACAAACACACACACACACACACATACACACACCCACACACACACATACTACATACAAGCAATTATAAGACCAAGGAAAATTATTGATTCAGTGTTAAATTTCTGGTTATGTTCAGTTTCAAACTAAGAATCTAGGTAGTTTTACCTAGTTTGTAATAGTACAGATATTTATAATTCTTCAATTTACACAATAGCACACTTTTAATCAGTCACTACTGGAGATATTTATATGAGGAAACCAATTCTCGCAGTGGTTATTTCACAAAGGCAGGACAGTGGAGATGTGTTTACCTTAAGTAACTTTACAATGAACAGATTGCGGGCACATGGTAATGAGGCATGCTTAAAGGGAAATGGGCCATGGCTCAGATTTTAGCATCCGTGATTGTACAATGCATCATGAGTTTCACAAGTACTCTACTGAGACTCCTGGATTCCTTATAAAAACAGTTTTCCATTTGTCTCTCTCATACTCTCACTTGTGTGCAATTAGATCGTTCGTCTTGCTAATAGACTATAATGCTAGGGGAGGAATGCAGAGGGAATGGACAGTTCAAAGAAGCCCAGGGAGACAAATGGGAGCAATCTGTACTTTATTAAATGTAAGGCTTATACAGACATCTAACCCACTGGTACTAATGTGAAGATGGCCTACACAAGTCACTTCTGAACTACGTTTTATTTCTCTGTAGAGTGGAACAGCATCTTAGCCTACCTGTTTATCCAGGAACTCTCGCGCATCCTTCTCAATATGACCCTCATAAAGATTGGTAGTCATGCTCATCAGTCCCACCTTAGACAAGCCAAAATCTGTCAGCTTGATGTGCCCCATGGAGGTAACCAACAAGCTGCGAAGCAGAAGGACACGGAGAACGACAATCACTTTGAAGCTGCTTCTATTTATTTTAGGCTCCCTTCTCCCCTCATCAGTTTGAAAGACTTATTACGTACATTGGTATCAGCTTTATGACAAAATCCAGACTAGAAAGAGAGGAAGTCACACAAAGATGTCAAAGGCTTGAGTATAAGTCACATGGGAGGGCTGTCTCAGCTGATCTTTCCTAGAGCATCACACAACTGAAACTCTTAGAAAAAATTCAAGTATGAAACTCTAACTCCTTTCCCATTTTCAGAATGAAGAAATAGGAAAGGGCTACCATCTCCTAAGTCAGTAGTTAAGATAAGCCATTCATCTTGGATTCCAATGAGACACAGATAAAGGACATGGACAAAAACAAAACAAACAAAAAACAACCCTCCAAAAGCCTGTATTTCTTTTACATGTGAATACGTTGCATTTGGATATACCATAAATGTTTCATGTTAAGTCAAGGAATGAAATTTTTAATAGCAGATATAGGGTCGTAGCAATTTAGAATAATGATAGGAATAGAGATTTAAAAAGCTACTAGGAAGAAATCAGTGTTTCAGATGAACTTTCCAAATTTTCTGAAATGAGTACGAGTCCCTTTTATCATAAAATTTGTAACACATTCAAGGTTTTTGTAGTGTAATGATTTAAGAGGTATCTCACCTTAGTAGAAAAAGTCTGAAATATTTCATAATTGGTGTCAAAATGAATAGCTAATCACTTTGGGAAAATGTTATCTTTGTATATTAAATCAGACACCAAAATAAACTCCACATGAATTAAAAATCGATAAATAGTGTGAGGAAACCACAGTATTACATCACGTACATTATCTTGAAATAGGGAAGGACTAGGTCAGTATGATATCAAATATAGGAACTATCCAGAAAGAGGTAGACTTCTATGTTGTTAGTCAAAAGTTCACATAAAAATATGTATTTTCCTAAAAAATTAACTATAGTCATCATTTTCTCCTATTTCTCATAATTTCTTATTCTAAAACATTGTAGCCTTTAAAGACGTATATAAAAATAACCACATATACTGTTTGGAACATTGTAGAAGAATTTTTTTTTCTTTTTGCTTATGTGGTACTGAGGAATCGAACCCAGGGCCTCATGCATGCAAGGCAAACACTCTACCACTGAGCCACCTTCCCAGCCCCTAGAAAAATTTTTTAAGTATGAATGACATTAAGAGAAAATCTTTTGCCAGGCGTCAGTGGCTCACACCTGTTTTCCTAGCTACTCAGGAGGCTGAGATCTGAGGATCACAGTTCAAATCTAGCCCGGGCAGGAAAAGCCATGAAACTCTTGTCTCCAATAAACCACCGGAAAAAAACAGAAGTGGCACTATGGCTCAAGTGGTAAAGCACTAGCCTTGAACTAACTGAAGAGCTGAGGAACAGTGCTCAGGCCCAGAGTTCAAGCCCCATGACTGACAGAAAAGAAAAGCTCTCATAAGAAGAAAATATTTGGTATCTTGAGAAAGAAGACTTATGTTTCCCCAATGTACATACTTGTCTGGTTTCAAATCCCTATGTACAATTCCATAGTTATGCAGATATTCCAAGGCCAAGACTGTCTCAGCAAAGTACATCCTGGCCATATCAACTGGAAGAGGACCCATGTTTTTCATTAAAGTAGCACAGTCTCCCCCTAGAAAACAAAGGATAAAGACTTAGTAAGTGCAGTGCCAAGCAGGATTCATGAAGACCAGCAGTTTAGATTGCAGAATTGCAATATTGCTTTTATTCGTAAGTGAAGACTCTGTTGAGTAATTACATTTCCAATTAAGACACAGAGGAGAGAAAATAAAGATTTAAGATGTTGTAATCATCACAGTAGGTTGGGCTCTGAAATGAAACTGGATTCAAGAACCATGAGTGTCCTTTTTGGATGACAGTAACAATTCAAAAGCCATAAAACATGGATTCTTAGCAGGGTGCCAGTGGCTCATGCCTGTAATCCTTGCTACCCAAGAGTCTGAGATCAAATGGAACTGGGCAGAAAAGTCCCCATGAGACTCTTACCTCCAATTAATCACTCAAAACAGCAGCGGTGGTGCTTTGGCTCAATTGGTAGAGTAACAGCCTTGAGCACAAAGAAGCTCAGGCATAGTGTCGAGGCTGAGTTCAAGCCCCACCACCACTAAAACAACAACAACAGTTAAAAAAAAACAACCATGGATTCTGGAATTAATCCGTCTAAGCATGAATTGTAAATATGCCTCAGACAGAGAGCTTGTAGGCAAACTTGTCTTGGCCATCCTGACTGTGTCATCTGTACCATCATAGCAATGATGTCCTCATTTACAGGATTATTGTGAGGGTTCATTAATTAATATATGTAAAGAATTTAAGATATAATAGACCAACACATATCAAACATGTTAACTGTTTATTATTGCTGTTAAAATGACCACAATAACCAAGTGTTGATGTGGTAAAAAGAACTATGAATGCAAATCAGGTGGTACCCAGCAAGCCTCCCTTCCTCTAATTTTACTTAGCTGCAGTTAAAAACTTGAATTAAAGAATGTTATTCTTTGCTTGCATTTTGTAGTTTTGAAATTGTGTGCAAACAATGACAAGAGCTTAAACTGGATGTTCAGGAATTTGTTTGGCTTTAGCCAAACTCTCTCTCTCTCTCTGTATTTATCTATACACTTTATGTCAGCAAGTCATAGCCACTTTATCTCTCTGAAATTAAATGGGGAAAAAAGATAGAAATGAGATTCCTGGGAGTATTTGAAGTGGACAGCATGAACCACTTTGAAAAAAAAAGCAAGAAAAGCTAAGTGTTGGAAGTTCACACCTGTGATCCTAGCACTCTGGTGGGGCTGTGGTACATGCCTGCTATCCCAGCATTTGGGAGACACCAGAAGGTCTAGAATTTTAACTCAGTCTGGGCTATGGAGCAAGACAAAGAAAGAGGAGGTGGAGGAGAGACAGTGAGAGAGAGAAGAAGAGGAGAGAGGAGGAGGAGGAGGAATAGGAAAATAGAACAAGGAGCCACTAAAAATCAGAAAGACTGTCTGGATTTCCAGAATATTTTTCCTTTCCTATAATTCATTTTTAATTTCACAGGATAGATTGAAAAGGTTATATTTTAATTCATTTTTAATAAGACTGGTTATAATGAATGTGTTTTGTGATACAAGATGTAAGTAAGTAGGAAAAATCCTACAGCTTATATTTCAATGTTAATGGTCATTTTTGGAAGGTAGTTAGGATTAAAAGCTATTAAAAAAGAAAAACAACCTGTTCCCATCTAGCACTAATTTTCCCTTTGTTATAGTAGAGTAGGCACTTTACCAGCAATTATCCAAAGATAATGACTGGGAATACAGCCATCTCATTGCCTGGCTTCAGTTCCTACATGGAGAGAGCCATTATATGGCACAGACACAGACAGCTTGAACAACACAGCTGAGTGAGGGATTTCTGGGTATACGTGTCATGTTCCCCATGTCCCAGCCAGACTTACCTTCTACGTATTCCATGACCATGCACAAATGGCGCCTTGTTTCAAAGGAGCAATACATGCTGACCACAAAGGGGTTTTCTGCAAAAGTCAGGATGTCTCGTTCCACAAAGGCCTGCTGGATCTGGTTTCGAAGGATGAGGTTCTGTTTATTAATCTTCTTCATGGCAAATCTCTGCCGAGATTCCTTATGCCGGACAAAGTAGACTGCCCTGAAAAGGAGCACAAGTATTGGGATTTTCGGGAAGACAGAAGGTAAGGGTGTTTGGGGTTACAGTAGCCATGAGATGCACAGTGTTTCTCAGGTTTTACAAAGCTGGAATTCAGTTTGCAAGAGATACACTGGCAATTAGAAACAGCCTATAACAGGCTAAAGTCTTTTAGCTAACTGAAGTAAAAAGAAAATAAAAAATCTTTCCATAAAGGTCACATATAAAGTATCAAATTCACCTGGCCCCAGTGGTTCATGCCTGTAATCCCAGCTACTCAGAAGGCAGAGAGCTGAGGACTGTCATTTGATGCCAGCCTGGGCAGGAGAGTCTGTGAGACTCTTATCTCTAATTAACTACCAGAGAGTGGTATTGTGGCTCAAAGTAGTAGAGCACTAGCCTTGAGTAAAAAAAACCTGGACAGCACCCAGACCTGGAGTTCAAACTCATCTTCACTGCTGAAAAAGGAGACAAATTAACCCTGTATTTGTGTGCACATGTGTAGAAACTGGGCCTTGAACCCAGACCCATGTGCTCGATTGGCTTTTTTTGTTGTCATATAAAGCTGGCCTTCTACCCCTTAAGCCACAGCTCTACTTCTTCTTGACTGACTAAAGCAATACATTTCTCAATGTTACTCAATGTCTGCAGATGGGACCATAGCTTCTTAAGAGTATGTGTTATCCAACTGAGAGTAATCTCCTTCCTATGAAATTGGTAGGTAAATGAGAGTACCTGAGCCCTTACACGAGCAACAAAAAGTAATGCATTTCCTTCTGTGGGCCTCAGTGTATATCCCTGTGCTTGTTCCAAGAGGAAATACAGTCTCAACAGAAAAGGAGACAACCATGTAGCTGCATTTCTGTTCCCTCCAACCCCAGGCCAAGGTGTCAAGAAACTGCATTGTGGGATGACCATTTTATCTCAGCCTAAAACCTTATCCAGATACTTTCTAGAGCAAGACACCAGACCCCTTGAGGCGTGGTTGATATGATATCAAAATTAATGAACTTAAGTAAATATTCAAACCATATCGTACTGAATCATCCATTTGAAAATGAGAAGTTTTGTTTATAAGAAAACTAAAGGAATGTTTCAGAAAGTTTCAAAGATGTGAATTACTGAATGAAATTCCTAAGGGGTTTAGTGGGGATAATTTTAAAAAATCATATAATCCTAGATTCCTACAGTCAGACTGCTTCAAGTATTTATTTTACCTTTAAAGAAGCTAAAACTGGAAAACAGAAACAATGTATTTTATGGGAGGCTTATACTGGCTGTCTTCAAAGGCCTTACATTGAAAGACCAATAAACACATTTATGTAGGTCAAATTTTAATGTTTTAAGTATATATTTCAATACTTTCCTACACTGATTTTTTTCTTAACCAATTAATAATTCTTTCTGTATCAGATTAAAAGCTTTTACTCTATTTTTGCTTTCCCTATTACTGGTTGGATAAAATCAGAAATCCATAGTCACTTAAGCTGCTTCTAATCAGATAATGCTAGCAGAATATAACAAAGGAGGACAGAAAACAACTTGGCAATCCCTGGAATGAGCATTGGTAAACAAGTAACTGTCACCAAGAGTGGGTTCTGAAAAAGGAACCTATCATTTTGAAATAAAATTAAGAACTCAAAATGCTGAAAGGAAAGCATCTTTATTTTTTTTTATAATGACCTACCTAGAAGTCAGTTTTCATGCAACTTCCTTTCCAACTCTTCCCTCAAACATTTTATCTTAAGCTCAGTGCCAAGGACCCTTCAATGTCTAAGCAAATATATTGGCATTTCCACACTTAGACTATCACAAGGTGGCAAATGGATTTTTCAGCCAAGCATCCCTTCCCCTTCTCTACACTCCCTTCCCACCTCCCCTCCCCTTTCCTTTCCTTCTCTTTCCTTATACTATACACTTAAGCCACAGTTCCTCTTCTGGCTTTTTGGTAGTTAATTGGAGTTTAAGAGTCATCATGAACTTTCTTGCCCCAAGTGGCTTCAAACCACAAATCTAAGATTTCAACCTCCTGAACAGCTAGGATTATAGGCATGAGCTACCACCATTTCTTACATAAGTAATTGCTCCAGGAACCATAGAAGGTAGAAGAAGAACAGAATTCTACAGAATTTTATAAAAGAATAAAAGAAATGTAGCTTTAAGTTCAATCTGACCAACATCCATAATAAGGATCTTAGTAGCACAGTGTAAAAAAAAAAAAAAGGATTCCATCTATATCTCAGATTTTTAGTATATAAAATTTTGGTTTGGGGCTGGGAAGGTGGCTCAGTGGTAGAGTGCTTGCCTTGCATGCCTGAGGCCCTGGATTCTACTCCTCAGTACCATATAAGCAAAAAGAAAAAAGCCAGAAGTGGCGCTGTGGCTCAAGTGGTAGAGCGCTAGCCTTGAGCTGAAGAGCTGAGGGACAGCACCCAGGCCCAGAGTTCAGACCCCACGACCAGACCCCCCCCAAATTTTTTTTTGGTTTGAGTTTTTTATTTTTCCATACGATGGTGTATTTAAAATAGTCAGCTAATCATTAGGAAAACTGACTTAAAGTAATTGAAATGAAATTTGTCTTGTAGTAGCTTGAGAAATCCCTGACTCAGGACAGATGGGTCTATCTTGATAAAATTGTAGAGGTGAACTAGACTTCATAATTAGAAATTCAAGGGAGTTTTATTGGTGTTGTGGTTGGTTGTTTTTGTGGTCCTAGGGATCATACGCAGGCCTTCATTCATTCTAGGCAAACATTCTATTTCCACGCTATACCCCAACCCATGGTTTGCTTTATGTTCTTGGTTTCTTACATTTGTGTTTTGCTTTTCGAGTATTATTCTTCATGCTAGAATTTGTTTACTATGATGGTTCTCTTTTACAGATACCTGTCCTACTTTTCTATAAGTTGATGATCTAAAATTACTAAACTCAGCAGAGAGCAGGAGAAATTGAAAAAGAGCAAGAAAGAGCAAGAAAAAGGCAATTGGCACTGTTGAGCAGAATATAAAATTCCTGATATCCTAATGCTACACTGGACTGACATGGCCTCTGTTTCTCAGCTTTCTGGCTCCAGGGCTTACTTAGTTGGAAAAGGCTGTATCTGTCTCTACCTCTGGCAATCTTCCTGCGAATCATGAAAACCCCAGGGTGCGAGGTGACATACAGTTAAAGGGTACCCAGGGACATGTTCTCTGTGAGCCAGAAGAGCTTGTACACTCTTCCCAGGCAAGAATGAGGTGTGGAAGGATGGCGAGAAGTGGATTCTGAAGTTAACAAAACCTAGAGCCCATTGATTCTGCCCTATTTGGCGTGTGACTCTAACGTGTGTAAGTTGTGTAAGGCTGTGAGAGCCAAATATCTGATTCTGGGCTGGTGGAGCTGCATATGGGAGCAAGGAGATGTGTGTCAAAGGAAAGCGGAGAGGAAAGGCAACAGGAAGCATGTGAAGAAAGAGCAGATGTCAGTTTGCACTCAGGGGTCTCTTGAATAATGTACATGGAGGTTATAGAGTAGAGGAAGTGTGTGGGGGAGGTGCTGTGCCTCTCCAAGTTAGTGATTTTATTCTGGAGTCAATTTTATTCTTTCTGTGAAAAGTATCTCAAGTACTAAAACTTGCTATCCTCTTTTCTCAGCCTCCCTCATGCTGGGATTACCAGAGCAACAAAAGGGAAGGGCCTCTATATCCCAACTCAGATGGCAAAAAGCTTTAAAGGCCAGGTGGTACCAGTGGCCCTGGCCTATAATCCAAGCTACTCATAAGGCTGAGAATTGGTCAGAAAAGCCTGAGAGACTCTGTCTCCAATTAACCAGCAAAAATGGAGAAACTGGAGGTGTGGCTCAAGGGGTAGAGCATAAACCATGAAGGAAAGAGCCCAGTGAGACTGTGGGCATAGAGTGCAAGCCCCAGTACTAGCATAAAGGAGAAAAGGAGTTTTAAACAATATTAGTTACAGCAAAAGGTAAATATTGCTTAAAATCAGAGGATCTGTCACCATGTCTTTGAGCTGTCCTTCCTGTATACTAGTGATATGAACTACCATTCAGGCGTCTTTGAGTGAAGAGAGACAAGGAGGCAGCACAGTACTTGACATGACAATCATCCTTCTACAAAGTGCTACATAGTAGGCATAAAGAAATGCCTCAACTCTCTTTTAGTTAATAGTCAGAACCATGTTAAACAGAGAAAGAAATTGGAATTAAATGTGCTTCCTCCGCCCTGGTACTCAGGGCTTTGCTCTCTCACTTGGCTCTTTTGCTCAAGACGAGAGCTCTTCCACTTGAACCACACTCTATTTCTGGCTTTTTGCTGGTTAACTGGACATAAGCATCTCCCTGACTTATGTGCCCAGGATGACTTTGAATAAAGATTCTCAGATTGCAGCTTCCTGAATTATAGGTGTGAGCCACCAGGGCTTGGTTAAGAAATTAAATCATCCTTTTCACAAGAATGGCCACCAAGTAAGAAGAGAAAGTCACTACACTCTGTGTTTCAGCAGGACAAATAGAAGCCCTTCCTAATTAGAAAGTGAGAAGCAGCATCATTAAAGTTTGCGAAGTCACCAAAATCCTTCTTTCTAAGCTTTTGATGTGAGTAATGAAACAAGGACACGCTGATGCCCTAGACATTTTCTACAACCAAGCTCCACTACGCATCTAGAGATCCATTTATTCAGCCAGCCCGCAATCAGCATTATAGCTGCATAAATGGATAGAGGTACCTCCATTCAAATTTCAAATTAAAAATAATTAAAATAGAGAGGAAATCTGTCAGAAATGTAATGAGAGATTAAATCTGAGTAGAGCAAGGGAGAGGAAAAAAAAAAAAGAGTCCTGACTGATAGCAGAGGCTCGGATAGGCAGCTTGTGAAACCATTAATGACTTGGCCTACATCCTGGGTGTTTACTGATTCACAGCTTGTTTAACTTCTTGTATATTCCCAACTGTTCCCCAAAGTGTGATATACCTCATCTACTCTACAGTGCTTTAACTGCACTACAAATGAGTTTACTCAACCAATTAGAACTCCAAATACTGCTAAGATAAATGCCCAAGTTTTATGAAAGTAGTGATTCCCAGATCATCTTTTTCTAGATTTCCACTGCCAGTAGAATTAAGCAATGCTCCAACCCACCAGCCCATTCAATTCTTCCATTTAATATACAAAGAATTCCTCAAGCCATCTCCAAAAGAACAAAAAAAAGTGAAATATTAATAAATAGGCAAAATCTAAGAACACCTGGATGGCTTAAACACTTATTTTTATGTAGAAAACTTCCTGTGAGGTCCTTAAAGGAAAGAAAATGTTGTGAAAAATGTAACACCAAGAAAGTATTTATGAGCCACATCAAGAAATATGCCATCTGACATAGTCCTGCAAACAAATCAGTGAAGCATAGAAAGGACTCACAAATATTTAAGTTCTTCACTAAGTTAATGGTGTGGAAAATATTAGAGGTGAAAAACTAGCAAGGAGAAATATCCCTTGTGGCACAACAAAAATCACTTTACCTCATCTGTTCGAATGTGTCGTAAATGGCAATAAATGTCTCTGGGATTATTTATTGCTTTCCACATACAGATGGAAGAGGGATTAATACTTAATTAGGCTAGGATTCTTAGGCTGTCTATAATGGATTAAGCCCTAGACTGTGCATTCACTGCCTTCCCACAGTATTTACTAGTAACTCAAAAAGATCTTGTTGCTATTTATGCTGTGCCCTGAGAAGGTAATTGTGTGTCTATAAAAACAGATCAAGCCACTAAAAGAGGGGAATTCAAAGATTCCCAGCACAGAGTAATGATAAATGTTGAAAGGGTCAGAAATAGCAATTATCCTTCTTTTTTCATATTACATGTAATGAAGAATTACAATTAATCCCACAAATATAGACAATTATATGCCAATGAAAATACCCTGAAAAATAATGCTTATGTTGTATATTATGTAATGGTACTATAATAAAGGAAAAAGAAAGGAAAGTGATAATTTGTTACCTCCTAGGAGCCTAAAATATATTATTTGGATGTTTGATGTCAATCTAGAAAATAAATCTCTTCCTTAAAGGAAAAAAAATGGGATCAAGGGAGGAGGACCAGTAATTTGATTAGATTATAGGATTAGGCTCAATTTAGTAAATTTTGGTATAACGTAAGGATTAACAGAACATATCATGATAAATTTTCCAACAGCCTTATTTTAAATAGTTTTCTCATAAGGCTGACTATTGATCAGATAGGAAATACAAGGTAATGCTCAAGTAGCAATTCTATGTATGAAACTATATATGTGTACATGTATAGATATAGCTTTATGTAATATATAATATGTATAATTCCTCTCCCAAGAGTGAACCCAGCATGGCAGAATGAATAAATGCAAACAGAAATACAGAACTATTTTTCCTTTGTTTTATAAAACCTTCTTTCCAACCTTCTAAAACAACTGCTAGGCCACTTGCTATTTTTGCAGTTGGATATTCAGTAAGAAGTGATTCTGGCTGTATATCAGCCCCACTGAGGAAAGCGAACAGTGATCTGAAAAGGGAAGTCCCTGCCTGGCATCTATTTGGCAAAAGATGAATGTGCAGAATAAAGATATCACTCCGGTGTGTTAAAATATAACAGAGAGCTTCTCTTCAATTAACTCACCCATAGGCTCCATTGCTAATCAATTTAATTGTTTCAAAATCACTTTCTCGAGGTTTCCTTCGAAGTTTCAGGGAAGTATTCGAACTCTTGGAAAGAAAACAAAGTTAAAAATAAGTCTAGCATTTGAGAAAATCATTTTAATGACAAAACAGGTACTACTTGAATGGATGTCATGCCGTTTAATATAGAATTCTAGCTAACAGAACCCAGGGCCAACTCTAAAGATCAAAGTGCCACAGCAGTGCTTAAGCCACTGTTCCTTGTGACTCCAGCTTAGCTACATTTAAGCAAAGACAATGGCAGGGAGGAAACTGGAAAGTCCTGGTTTTATTTCCACTCTGTATACTCCTCAAGTTAGCCACCTTCCCAGCCCTCTATGAGTCTTCTTGTCCCATCAACTCTCCCCTCAAATCTCCACCACGAACTCTTCAGAGGGGAGTGCCAGAAAATAGCAGACAGAAAGACAAGTACCAGTTTGATAGTGCTTCCCTGATGCTTCCAAGGAACTTCAGTCTCAACACATTTAAAGTTTTGATAGTTACTACAACAAAATTAACAGGACAACCATCATTTGCTTAGTACAGCTTCTAACCACCAAGATACTCTCTTATCCATTTTACATGGAATTATCTCATTTAATCTTTCATAATCTCTTATAACTGTTGTACTGATGGGGAAATTGAAGCACAGGAGAATCATTTCCCTACACCCTCCACACCTAGTAAGAGGTGAAGCCAGTTTTTAAATCCAAGCAATCTGAATCCGGAAGAATCTCTTTCCCAATTCCTACCCCCATGATTATACAGATGTTCCAGGTTTCCTGATCATCCCTAGCCTGCTCCTTCCTGATTTCTCTGCTAGGGTTAGCTATTTACAAGAGTGTTCCCCAACCAAACCTCTGACTGGTGTCCCTGTAACTGCCACTTAACTGACTTTCCCACAAGCACCCTGCTGTACCCCAGTTGACTTCTTTTCTTCAAGCCATTACTCTGATTGGAGCATCTTCCTTTTTAGTCCATCCTTTCTCATATACATGGACACTGTTCCAAAGCTGGGTTGCTTCCTGTTGTTGCTTATCTTAAAAGCAACTACACACAGGGGCAACAGGGACTTGTGTGCATGTGTGTGGGAAGGGTTCTGACAAGAGCTTTCCATCTCTATGGTCTCCCCTGATTTTAGCCCACAGATGTCCCTTGTGTCTTCAGTGTTCCTTGGTCCCTTGGCATCTTAACCATGTCTTGCATCACAAGAGCCATGGCCCCAGGGAATTTTTTTTGTGACTGGCCAGACTAAAGCAAATCTCCTTATGGTATATTCCAGCAGTGCATAGTCTTTTTTGCTTTGTAGATTTTATTCATACTTGTTATTCTAGGGTTTGTTTTTGTTTTTTGCACATGATTTCTTTTTTGTAAAATTAGGCTTTTTGTAGAAGGTAGACACAAACATTGTTTGCCTAGTGCCTGGCATACAGAAGAAGACAATAAATATTTGTTGAAGAAAGTAATTAACGCACTCAAAAATCTCCAGATGCTAATAAAACACAAAAGCCAACAGCATATTTCATGGGGAAAGTACTCACACTCACTGATTCATCCGTCTCTGGTGTTTCTGCTGTACCACTATCATAGTTTCCCAACTGAGCCATTTCTAGGAATAAAATAGCCAAGAAAACAAAAAGCCAGGTACAGTTTAAGAAATAACTGCAATTAGACAAGAAGGATGTGCTCTTTCTTCTAATATAGCCATAGGAAAACTGTATCTAAACATAGCAAGAACCAGTGGCAGCTGGTAACGTGCACTTGGTCATTACATACCCTGTCCTGGAATTCCATTTCTTTTTATTTTTTGAAAATATTTTTATGATCTTTACTTGTACAAAGGAGTTGCCAGCCAATAAAGCAGTTATGAGTACAATGCATCTTGATCAGTGTTCACTCCTTACCATTTCTTATGACAGCTCAACAGAGGAAAAAGGGTTACTTGCTCTGTTTAAAATGATATCAAAATATACAAGTCTTTCCAAGTCGGGTGCCAGTGGATCATGCCTGTAATTCTAGCTACTCAGGGGACTGACATCTGAGGATGATGGTTCAAGGCCAACCCAGGCAAGAAAGTTGATGATACTCTTATCACCAATAAATTACCAAAAGAAAACAAAAAGTAAAAAGAAAAACTGGAAGTGGAGCTGTGGCACAAGTGGTAGACTGTTAACCTTGAACAAAAGAAGCTAGGGACAGTATACAAGCCATGAGTTCAAGCCCAAGGACTGGCACCAAAAATAAAAAATACCCGCCCCCCAAAAAAAACAAAAGATGCAAAGCTCTTCAGGATTTGATGGACAACAAAAAGGCACTGGCTACATTTTGGAAATAATTTTCGTTTCCAGTGAGCATCTATTGCTTCATTCCTTTGGACCTTCTAAGAGAAATGCTACCAAATATAAAGAGAATTTGCAGTTTCTTAGAAGTGGTAATGGTGATTGGTTCAGAAGGGTTTGGAGATGAAAAGATTTGATTAAGGCCACTGGCTAATTTTTAGGCTCTTCTCCAGCAAAATGGAAACAATATTAGTTATCTCTTAGAACTTTTTTATTAGTACAATGCATCATAATGCATGTGAAGCTCTTAGCATGTTAACTAACAAAAATTAAGTGTTTATTAAATAATGATTGTTATTTATTATTAATTATATAGTACAAAGTAATCAATTCTGGGCTGGATGCCACATGCTTGACATCAGCTTAAGCACTACCCTGGTGGTCTAGTTAAAAATGACAAAGGCATATAATTGCCCAGCTCAAGTTGGAATGCATCCTTGAGTTTATGTAAATAAATGGCTAAGTCTAATTAATGCACTGATCTCAGTCCCCTGCGTAGCTAGAATAAATTTTTTTCCCACAGGTATTTTCTAATTTTATAAAAAAGTGGACCTGTGTAATAAGAAGTGATAGTTTTAGATACATATTTTTGTAGAGTCTATAATCATTTCTTAGGTTCTTATTTCATATGTTTATGTTTTTATAAATATAACTATAATTTTTAGCTAGTGATTATTCCTAAGGCTTATGAAGCTAAAATACATTTAAAGTAAAAATTGGTATAGTCTAGCCAAAAAATATCTGGAGATGGACTCGAGTGTTCTCAGTTGGGAAAATGCCAGGATAAAAATAACCTTAAACTCTATACTTTCTTGGTGTCATTCAAATGAGGTACAGACACAGAGACAAACTAAAGCATATTTGGATTGAAGGAATCTCCAGAAAAGAGGTAGTATTTAATATTGTTTAAAAATAGAAATAACAGTTAACACATTAAGCAATGACAATGTGATTGCCATAAATTTGATTTGGAAGGACCTGAGGGGTAAAGAGGGCCATGAATTGTTTGTTTAAATCCATGACACAGATCCAGAACTCTCACTCATCAAAGGACCAGCTACAGATACGTTAGCTTGGATGCCAATAGCATAGAGAAATTTATTAAATTGCCTGAGGAAGTCATACTGTAAATGAGAACAAGCAGATTAAAAACTATCCTCAGACAGAACTAAAAAAATTAAATCTCAAGAGTTTTTAAAAAAGCGACTCCTAGTGATAAATTTTTATTACCAAATTTGAAACATGCCAGAGACCCTTACAAGTTTTTAAGGCCTCTGTTAAGGGACATAAATGGGCCTGGGACTATTCACATACCAAAGATCAGCTACAGAAGTATTTACTGTCAGGGAGGAAAACTGGGAAGAGCTGACCCAGCCTTAACCACACTGGCGTGAAGAGCCAGGGTAATCTGCCTTGACAGCCTCCCCTCACTCCAATTATTTTCATAAAAAAATAAATTAAAAGAGGGTTCTGTTTTAAATAGAATTTCTGCTAAATAACTATTATCTGGGAAATACATATTATTGGTAAACAGTGGGTAGTAATGGGAAGGAACCAAGAGTCAGCTTTTGAAGAGGAAGCTAAGGCATCATTTTGTAATGCCTGAAGAGATTTTTAAAAACTCATCTAAATACCATTAAACATCTGCCCTTTTTTATTTCATTGATTTAAACCATTTCTGAAGAGTCATGATTCAAAAAGGTAAAGATGGTAATTTAAAAGCCATGGGGGGAAAAATCTCTCTCCAGGGAACTTCTCAGAAAAGCAGCCACCAGTCTCTGATAAGTGATGAATCTGTTGTGGTATTGCTTTCAGTACAGTATGAATTTATCTGGAATTATCTCCCAGTAATGCATGCATCATTTCACTGGAAGCAAAGATACGACGGCCACAACAGCAAACAAAGCAGGAAGCACAGGAGAGAGCAGGGCAGAAAGCAGCAGGCTCCCTGGCTTTAGATGGGAAAAAAACTTCTGTGCCCATATTTACTTTCATCACGCACAATGGAGCAGGATAAGCGCTGCTCAAATTCAATTTGATGAACCAGGAAGACTATTTTGAATGAGGAGTCGATGATTGTTTATGAGTCTTTTTAGGCAGTGTATAATACTAAGGTTTACAAGTAACAATCTAGAACTACAATGAACAGGAAAAGGTGGGGACATGACTCATACTAGGTTTTTAAGAAAAAAAAATCACTAACAGAATGTTTTCTATTCTCTGTACTCAATAGAAAGCTATCTTGTTTTTATTTGATTCAAAAAATCCTTTGATAAGCCTTAAGAGACGCAATCTTTTCTATTATTGTCTCTCATGTGTGCTAACATTCCTTTAGACTGTCTTGAGACATAAAAGCAAAACTATACATACCTAACACTACTGTACTCAGATTTAAAGCAATCTACCATCAATTGCATTACACCCCAATTAAATATAAATGCCAATTTTAAAGGAATGATAATTAATTTCTTCAGCAACACTTTCAAAATAAAAATTACTCTCAAAAGGAGTTCAATCTAGCTATGCCAGCGAAAAAGTCTTCAGAGAAGATTGAAAACCAAATTCTCCAGGATAGTCTGGCTCACAGCCTATAAGCTATCAAGGCCTGACCCCTTCTCCAGGTAACCAAAACTGGAACAGGCTCATTTTCCTCAGGACTAGATGCTCCCCAAGAAGAAGTACTTCAATAGAGAGCCTAAATAGGAAAAACAAAGACTTGCTACTAAGGTCTTCTAGAGGACATAGAATAGAAGCAACGAAAAGTTAACCCAGCCAAGTTCTTACCTTCCAAAGGGTCCTTATTGAGCCCCAGCTGACTGATGATGTACCTGGGAATGTCAGTTTTGATGCCCTGACCTTCTTTTGCATGGCCTTCTGCTGCTTCCAATAGGTAGTAAAATTCTTCAGGATCAAATTCCTGGCAGAAGACAAACAGAGACAGAATGCTATGAGCCAAAATGGTGTGAGATTCTGTTACATAAATCTCATTTATAATAATACTATTGATATAGCTTATTTATTTGTTTTTATTGTAAAGGTGATGTGCAGAAGGGTTACAGTTACATAAGTCAGGTAATGAATACATTTTTTTTCGGGGGGGTCAGTCATGGGGCCTGAGTTGTGGGCCTAGGTGCTGGCCCTTCACTCTTCAGCTCAAAGTGGGTGCTCTACCACTTGAGCCACAATGCCACTTCAGCTTTTTTTGTTTATGTGGTGGCTGAGGAATCAAACCCAGGGCCTCATGCATGCAAGGCCCCTGAATACATTTCTTTTAGAATAGTGTCACCACTTCCCTCATTTTCTCTCAGAATTTTCTCTCCTGACTCCCCCTCCCTGACAAGCGGTATAGTTCATTTTCAGCAGTGTCTAATGAATGTCACTGTTGCATTTGTTCACCCTTTGTCCCACCATTTCTGTGATTCCCCTTCCCCTCCCCAAATCAAATAAACTTACATACGAGACAAAAGGCACAGAAATCAAAAACATCAACAAAGGAGAAAACAAAAAAAAAAAAAAACCACAAAAACAAAAGGCAATAACAACAACAACAAAAAACACAAAAAACAACCTCCAAAAACCTCTTGTTTCAATTTTTTGGGGTTCATGTCAATAAACATCATTTTACATGATTTTATGTACATAGCTACTGAACCTTTATGATCCTCTCCTAAGAATATCCTCCTATGGTCTCACTCTGTGAATGTTTAATTTATCATGTCCAAGTGTAATATTTTGTCTTTTACCATCCAGTGTGTTTACTTGTAGACTTATAGGCACATTCTAATTACTACAAATGAGGGATACCAAGCAACCTATGTTTCTTTGGGTCTGGCTTACTTCCCTTAAAATAATTTTTCCAAGTCTTTCCATTTCCTTACAAATGGTGCATTATTATTCTTTCTGATGAAAGCATAGAATTCCATTGCATATATCATATTTTCTTGAGCCAGCTCAAAAAATTAACACCGTTCCTCCCCCGCCCCCCCCCCCCCCCCCGCAAAAAAAAAAAAGACAACAAAAATCCAATTAATAAATGGGCTAAAGCTTAAAGAAACACTTCTCAGGAGAAATAGGAATGGCTAACGGACACATGAGAAATGTTCAACATCTCTTGCCATAAAAGAAATGTAAATCAAAACAACATGGAATGTAGCTTTAAAAAAAATGTATGTAACTTTCACTTCTATTTGAAGTCTGTTCATATTCTAAGCCAATATACTCATTCAATGGGATAACCTAAAGATAATGATTGCTTCTAGTTACCTTGTAAGGCAATATTTGAGATACTATTTATGCTCCAGTCAAGATCTGGATTTCATTGGAAAAGAGCAGATATTCTTTTAATGGTTTATGTGACCCAGTACTCTATCGCCCTGGTTGACCTTGGACTCCTAGGATCAATTATCTTCATTCACCTCCTCCTCCTGAACATCTAGGACTATAACTATGTATTTATTACTTGCTCTGCTAGATCTGAAGTTTCATTTTTTCAATTTAATTTTTTTTAGAGTTGGGGAGTAGTGCTAAAAATTGAATCCAAAGCTGTGGGTCTGATAACAAAATTTTGAAATCTGAGAATTTTACTTAGAAGATTCAGTGTCTCTCTATATATAATTAAGCATAATATTAAACTACAATTACTTAAAGGTTTGTAGGAAATTTACCAGATCTAGATGTCTAAAACTATTAGAAAGAAAATCTTTAATGCTACCATATTTTTAACTCTAAGTATTATTATTCATACTTACATTATGCAAAGATTTTTTAAAGTAGTAAGCTGAAGTTGTCAATGACCTCTATATTACTTTCATAATAAATTTTTCCTATATATTTAAGTTTTGCTGGTCATCGATTAATATATTGTAAACAATTGTGTTCAGAAATTTAAAGCACAGTTGCGGATTTCATGGTTCAGTTCCTAAAACCCTCTTCCTTCTTGATTAATGTCCAGAATAACCACCTTTCAAATCTGAATCCCCCACCCACAGGGCTGAGGACCGAAATCAGGGCCTTGCACTGACCAAGCAAGTGCTCTTCCACTGAGCTAAATCCCCAAACCCTTGAATCTGTGTTTCATCTGATAATTACTCAAGAATTTTTAAGGGTCAGGAAGTGGCGCTGTGGCTCAAGCAGTAGAGAGCTTGCCTTGAGCTGTAGAGAGCAGGGACAGCACCCAGGCCCAGAGTTCAAGCCCCACCACCGACCATTGGTGGTGGGGCTTTTTTTTTGGTCGGTGGTGGGGCTTGAACTCTGGGCTTGAGTGCAAAAAAAGAATGTCTCAGGGTCACATTAAAAAAGCTTACTGCAAATGAAATCAGGCCCAGCCAGTATAATCTAATCACTCAGAGCTCTGAAAAGACACTTCCCAGGACTGACAGGACAAACCTGGGAACTGCTGGCATAAGATAAAAGCTTAAGGAAACATCCTTTAACATTCTTGACACTCCAGTTTAATCTGATCTCTAAACTATACTGAATATAAACATTTCCAAAGCTACTTTAGAGTCCACTTGTTCCTGTCAATACTTTTACTTCTCTTATCTGCTGCTGAGTGATTACTATAAAAAAATGCATTTCCTCTTTGAAGACAAGATCTGTTCCTAGTATACAGGCTATTGTGCATAAAAATATTTTAATGTTTATTAGCATTCCCCCCACCACTGATTATATTATTGCACCATAGGAGAAGCAGGAAAAAATATCTCCCTTCTATCTGTCCACACATCTAGTTCTCTTACCACAGGTATCCAAGGTAGTGTACTTCTGGCTTTTTGCTGGTTATCTAGAGATAAGAATATTGAGGATCTACCTGCCTAGGTTCGCTTCAAATGAACCTCAGATCTCAGCCTACTGAGTAGCTATGATTACAGGAATAAGTCACCAGTGCTCAGCTACATGATGCTTTTTACTCTGTGGTCCTAAGGATCCAAAGCTGATAGAAATCCTGCTCTCCATCTTTTACCTCAAGATCTGCCTCCCTCTGCTATCTCTCATCAGGCACTGGTATTTCTGAGGCTAAAAATATTTCAATATTGTAAAATCTAATGAATGTTAATTAAGAGAATAACAAGAACAAAGCACCACAACCACACACATTATTTTGTATTAAATGCTGAAAAATATATTATACATGGAGTTCAATTACTTTAATAGCTGGTAGAATTTTTAAAAGGGAAACTTTGTGCTATATTAATTTAGCCCTTTAAATAATTCTTATGTTAAAGTTCCATGTTTATTTACAATTTTGATTGAAATAACAATCAAGATTTAGTAAAACAAAAATTTTAAAAGGGCAAAATGAGTATTATTATGATATAATTTTAAAAATGAAACAATATCTAAAAGTCATTCCTCCTGATAGCCCACTGTACCCTTTTCCAAATGGGTTTGCTCAATAGCAATGACTTCTAGCATAGTATAATAAAAAAACAAATAATAATTATATCTACGGGTCACTATATAGGATATCTGGGATTTCCTTCTCTCTGACCCTCACCAAACTCCAAAAAAACACGAGGCAGAGCAAACATTTTACATTAGCTGTGACACAGAGTAATTATGCAGAAGTAAGGTCGAGTACACTATTTCATGACCATCCTTCAAGTTTGACCAGAATGTAAGATGACTACCAGTTAACGCAGCACCAACTCTAGAATTCTTTCTTAAAATCAAAGAAGACAAGTCACATATGGATGCCATCACACACATTCACAAGCTGCAGCTCATCCCAATTCTCCCCATTTAGTGCTGCTGGCTGAAGTGAAATGAAACTGGAGCTTTCTGTGGGTTGCTGCTTTCCTGCAGTTAACAATAAATAATGTAGTCACATCTAAAGGCAACTTACCAGGCACTCCAATAAACGAGCAGGGCGGGCAATAACAATTAGGATCTTTCGGACTAGCTGTTTAATAAATGCCAATTCTCCGCTTTCAGAGCGATCGTGGGCCTATGAAAAAAGCAATGAACAGCATGAGGACACAGTGTTGCTCCACTAAATGGAAAAGAAAATCAGCAAAGCATGCTAATGAGCTAATTGCAAACGTTCAAAAATTAAGCAATTTAGAAAATACTCTTAAAAGATTGATAAGTGGGCATTATCTCTAGATAAATGGACACTATTAAACATCCACATCCATAAAATAGCTCTATTAGCTAAACTTTAACTGCAAAACTTTGATTTATTATCTATGTTAAAAATTGAATATGTCTCTTTAATGTGAACCATGAATGAAGGAGACATTAAAAGTTTATGACACATTAAAACGTGTTACCAGTACCGTCAGCTCATCAAGAACATGGACTTACCAGATGTAACATGTTAGATGTGTGAACAGCAGGAACAGACTGGGTATTCTGTTATCCTGGGCATTTAACATGCTCATGAAATATACTTCACATATACAATATGATTTGCTTACAAGTTAGTTACTTCCCCATGTGTAAGAAGTATACAATGCTTACTTTAAATATTAGCTGACTAATGTTTATCATTGGACACACACATATATATATATATGTGTATGTGTATATATGTATGAATTCAATTTCACACACTGAATAAATAGGCACTCAACTCAGTAAAATTTTATCCAGTTTTGAATTTTACTTTACATGTTGTCCAAACACAATGAAATGTCCTGAGACCAAAGTTGTTTGCCAACAGTCAATGAAATTTTCAATGAGGTCTTCTTGAATTATCTGGTAAATATTGGGTTGATATAGGACAGAGATTTTGGAAGTTTTGATGTAAATTTCTATACTTGTTCATTTTAGGACTGTTTTTTTTTTTTGGGGGGGGGGGGAAGGTCCGGTTGTGGGGCCTGAACTCTGGGCCTAGGTGCTGTCCCTCAGCTCTTCAGCTCAATCTAGCGCTCTACCACTTGAGCCACAGCGCCACTTCTGGCTTTTTTTTCCTGCTTATGTGGTGCTGAGGAATTGAACCCAGGGCCTCAAGCATGCAAAGCAAGTGCTCTACCACGGAGCCACCTTCCCAGCCCTAGGACTGTTTTTTAATGACTTACTTTCCTCAAAGGATTAAAAACAAGTATCATGTTCCTGATGGTACAATATGATGTAATTCTGCTGACACAGAAATAAGCAACTACAAAAAGGTTCTTCTAGCTGGGTGCCTGTGGCTCACGCCTGTAATCTTAGCTACTCAGAAAGCTGAGATCTGAGGATCATGATTCAAAGTCAGTCCAGGCAGAAAAGTCCATGAGATTCTTATCTCCAATAAACCACTCGGAAAACTGTAGCTCAAGTGGTAGAGAGCTAGCTTTGAGCTGAAGAGCTGAGGGACAGCGCCCAGTCCCAGAGTTCAGGCCCCTTGACTGATTTAAAAAAAAAAAAAAAAAAAAAGGTGTTTCATCTTTGCCAAGTCCCTCTCTACAAAAAAAGAGCTGGCAAGGGATGTGAAGGGGAAACAAAGGAGGAGGCTGCAATGCTTGATAAGAGATGTACTCATTATCTTGCCCATGTAATTGTAACCCCTCTGTACAGTATGTTCACAATAAATAAAACTAAAAAAAAAAAAGAGCTGGCAGACTAGTTTATTTTTTAAATGATTTTAATATGCATATTGAATTTAGGCCAGCATATCAAAGATGATGTTAAAAATACGTAAGTATATAAACTATGTACAGAGTGGGGTGCCAGTGGCTCACACCTGTAATCCTAGCTACTCAGCAGGCTGAGATCTGAGGATTGAGGTTTAAAGCTAGCCATAAGAAAGTCTATAAATGTAACCCCTCTGTACAGTATTTTCACAATAAAAAAAAAGAAAGTCTGAAAGACTCTCTCTCCAATTAAAACAAAACAAAACTGTATTAGAGGCCATTGGTAGAGCACTAGCCATGAGAAAAAAAGGCTTAAGAGAGCCTGAGGCCCTAAGTTCTAACATTGGTACCAACAAAACAAGGAAAATAATTAAGACAGGAGGAAGGAAGGAAGGAAGGTAGGAAGGAAGGAAGGAAGGAAGGAAGGAAGGAAGGAAGGAAGGAAGGAAGGAAGGAAGGAAAGGGAAGGGAAGGGATGGAAAGGGAAGGGAAGGGAAGGGAAAAAAGGAATACAAATCATAAAAGAATAAGAAATCAGCTTATATTTAAAAAATAAAGAAATTGGTAAGCAACTAGAAAATAATACATTCCTCACACTTACACACATATGCTTCAAATAATAAATTTTCTGCTGCAACAAAAATAGATTTTGGAAGATAAAATGAATGCTAAGAAATATGATGATTTTTTTTTATAGTTTAGCCTTAACTAAAGAGAGAAGCTTAAAAATAAAAACAAAAACCCCAAAGCCCACCTAATTCTTTGTCTTAAAAGGCCAAGCATGTTTTGGTGGCTGTTTTCAAAGGGAAATGAGAGTTTTATATATAAAAGAACTAAAAAATGCCCAATTCAGGCTAGACAGATTTCATTTCAAAAACCATAATAAAAAACTATTAATTCACTCCAACTTCTTCTGACAACCAGCTATATCAAAGGCCAAAGCAAAGGAAATATATCAGCTGCAATAATGTGTTATTTTACCAACAGGGAGAGTTTATTTGTGTGTGTGTGTGTGTGTGTGTGTGTGTGTGTGTGTGTGTGTGTGTGTGTGTGTGTGTGTGTTTGTCTGCCTGCTGGTCTTGGGGCTGTCTTGAACTGAGGGCCTGAATGCTGTCTCTGAGCTTCAGTGCTCAAGGCTAGCCCTCTATCACTGAGGTCCAGCTCTACTTTGGGCCTTTTTTGGTGCTTAAGAGAAGAGACTTTCTTGTCTAGGCTGGTTTTGAATCCCAATCCTCAGCCTCCTGAGTAGCTAGGATTACAGGTATGAGTCACCAGTACCAGCTAAGATTTATTTTTAATTGCCTTGAAATAGTCTGCAAAATCTATCATCAATAAGCAAAAAATAAGTGGGCAATTCTACTATAAATAGCTTTGGATATCAATTCTACCCTTTTCAAGGAATGCTTACAAAGGAATGAAAAACAGAAGTAGGCTGATAATTATGATAATGTCCTGGGACAGATTTCTGGAATTACAGAAGAAGATGCTCACAGAGGTTGATTACAGAGTTGCTCTCTGGTCTGCCTCTTGTGCTTAAAAGTGTACATGCCAATACTTTCTCTTGTGTTCAAGGTGTACCATTTCCATACTTTCAAGGTATCTTCATACACAGAAATAAGCATGGAGTTGGCATTTTCTAGAAGTTGACTTGATGGAAAAAGCGCCAGCAGATTAGATTAGTATGACATTACATGATAATAGGCGAAATATTTAGGCATGCCTCTGTATGTGTTTTTCCCTTCTGCCTCTCCATAGTCACTGACCACTCAATAACAAGGCACTGAATTGGGCACCAGGAATCAGAGCTGACCCATCTTCCTCAAAGTCGGCTTTATGCTGATAAAACAAGTTCTCCCCACCTCCAAACTATTATCGCAATATGCTGGAGCTTAATACACTGAGAGGGGTGTGCAGACATAGGCCATGCTGTGGTTTTTCCCTTAGGCTGCATGGAACACTGAAGAGTCTGAGGCTGATGTTCCTGTTGCTGCATGGAAGTGTGGATCTGAGGGGTTATGACTAGAGGGAAACAGACCACTGAAAAGGAGGGTCCAGCTCAAGTGGTGGATATAGAATAGGAGGAGAAAGTTGGGAGAATTTTAGGAAGAAAACAGAGAGGTTAGTGGCTGCTTTAGGTAGGGCAAGGCGAGTTGTTACTACAACTTGTATTCCCAGGAGGGCTTGTAGTCCCAAGAGGTACCTGGGAAGAAGGTGGTGTGATTGGGGGGCAAGGGGAGGGGAGCATGCAGGAGAAGCCCGTTGAAGGACCCTGAGAAAGGCAGGCAAGCCAGCAGTGTTGTGGTGGCCTAAGTGAAAGGCATTCAGTAGGCAGGCAGGCACATACCTCTGAAATCCCAGCACTGAGTACTGCTGATCTGAGATCTGGACTGGAAGCTACTAGAATCCTTAAGACTCTAATGAGAGCAGCCAACAGGCTGAAAGGGGAAACAGTGAAAGGATAAGATTGTAGGAAAAAGGTGGGCGCCGGTGGCTCACACCTGTCATCCTAGCTACCCAGGAGGCTGAGATCTGAGGATCGCGGTTCAAAGCCAGCCTGGGCAGGAAAGTCCGTGAGACTCTTATCTTCAATAAACCACTAGAAAACCGGAAGTGGCGCTGTGGCTTAAGTGGTAGAGCGCTCACCTTGAGCTGAAGAGCGCAGGGATAGCACCCAAGCCCAGAGTTCAAGCCCCACGACCGACCAAAAAAAAAAAAAAGATTGTAGGAAAATTAACTTGGAGAAAACAAGACTTTGAAAAGAAATGCTTAGAATAAACAGGGCAGAAATGGGTAAGAGAGGTGTTTTATTTTTGCAGGGAGGGGGGGAGGTGGTTGGAGGACAGTAGGGGTCAGACACTCGTGCCACAAATATTTAGGCCCCTCTATGAAACAAATGCCTTCCTGGGAAAACAAAGCAGGGGAGATCCCTGTCACATGAGTTCTCATCTCATAGTACTACTCCAGTGAGGTCCACAGACAAGCGATCTGTGTGATAAATTAAGTGCAATTATTGAGAGTAAGCATCTAGCAACTCTTATGGTAAAAGTGTACAAGGCCAGGATACCCAAGTACATGCTCATTTCCCTTAAACTTATTTTCATTTTTGTGTATGGGAGGCCTGCTCCAAGCCAAATTGGAAGTTAACAACAACAAAGTCGAAACACAACATGTTTGTCTCCCCCCACACACATACACACCCGCAAAGACAGCCTGAGAGACACTTGTTTTAGAAGGTTGAAATGTGAGAAATGAGAACAGCAAACAAAGCCCCATGGGGAAGTTTGGATGGAAAAGGGGGAAAAAAAACAAAACAAAACAGTGGCTGTTAGCTAGAGAGGAATCATCTTACCTTGCTAAAATTACGAAAATTGTATAGGGCCAAGGACAGGTGGATTTCTCCAAAATTAGGGCTAGTGTTTTCCTGTAGTTTTGTACAAGTATTTATATATTTATTCTTAGGAAAAAAGCATCTATGATTACTTTCACATGGGTATAATTTATGCTCTATGAGGTACAAGAATATTATAAATCCAAATACACAGGCTTTTAAATAGGTTTCCCCTATGAACTGTGGCCGATCAATTTCAGTGAGAGGAGCAATATCATATACTAATTCCATTCCACCAAGCACATTCCCTTCCTGTCTGGGGTGTTATCAGGAGGTAGGCATGCAAGTGTTAGGCAGAGACCAGCCCTGTGTTTATCTGTCATTTTAGAAATTGGATATGTTGTTAGAGGAAGAACTGACACTAATGAAAATATAAGTTGCCATTTACTACCCACCACACGCAGGTTAATTAATAGGACACATAGCCTGGAAGAAGCCATCAATTTTCCATTTAGCTTTTGCAGATATTAGAAGTAGATAGGACCATCAAAGAACGTACATATACTCAAGCAATTTATAGCTTTCTGGGTAAGGAGGCAGGAATCTCTACTTCAAAATCCTTCAAAACCCACTTATCCCAGAGTCAGTGATTGCTGGGTCTCAAGGTTCCTGTATAGGTGATTACATTAACTTCCTATTACTATACATATTGACCAGAGTCAACCTACAGCAAGTAGTAATCAGTTAGCTTTTTTTTTTTCTTCTTTGCTTCCTTGGAATATAAACTATATCTCATAGCTACCATTTGTAAGAAAATGGTCTCATAAAGCATTCTTTTTCCCAGGGAAAAATGCAAAACAAATCAGAAAATTTTATATGCATGGCATACGGTTCTTACCTCCTGTAGCAACTTGTCTAATTTGTGCTGCAATTCAAGGAAGTACCGTGAGGTGATAAGACCCTGGTGAGATTTATCCAAACAATCTCGAGCCAGTTCAATAATCTGATGGTGAGTGAAGCTAAGCACTCCATCTGCTAAGGGAAGAACGTTGTCAGGGGAGTAGCTAGTGATAATTTCCTTCAGACGCTCTTCCATTTGAGCAGTAGCCTGTTTAGAGGAAACACACAAGTACAGGTGTAACATAAGGAGACAGACGTGAATAACCCAACCATCCCATTTCCTAGGCATTTCCAAAAACCTCCACAAATTGTTAGTAGAATTCCATAAAATAAAGTCAAAAGAAACCCCAACTTCTGGGCTGGGAGGAGTGTATATGTGTGTGTATGTCTCGTGTGTGTGTGTGTGTGTGTGTGTGTGTGTGTGTGTGTGTGTGTGTGTGTCCAGTAGAGTGCTTGACTAGTACGTGCAAGGCCCTGAGCTTGATCTTCAGCACAAGAAAAGGAGGAAGGGAAAGAGGGAGAAATAGGAGAGGGAGAGAGATCTCAGTTTTGTATAATACAAGAATCACACATACCTGTCAATGTGTATTTGTCCAAACATATTGATTGTACAGACTCAAGAGAGAGTCTTAAAGAAAATGTGGGTTGTAGGAGATCATGATGGGTTCATGAGGGTTCACTGATTGCAAGAAACGTACCACCTTGCTGCTGGAGGTCAATGAAGAGTGTAGCTGTGTATGTGTGGGATGCTGAATACAGAAAACTTCTGTACTCTCCACTTTATTTTGCTATGAAGCTAACGAAGAGCGGAGGGGAAAGATAAGGCAGATTCTGCAATTACTTCATCATGTGGCATGAAGATGGTAAAGATTTAAGGTACTTAAATGAAAAGGAATATTTCAGGGTGCCAATCCCTTTTCCAATGTCCCATCAAATGTAAGGTGACCCTTGTAGGCTTTCTGAACTAATTCCATATATATCTGTGAAATGCGATGCTTTTATGTTCAATCTTGGGCTCTTTCAGATGGATTGTCAAGAAGCTCCAATATTTCTTTAGTTATTAGTTACACAGAACTCAAGGATTACTGCTATAGTTTTATAGTATGAACCATGTTTGCTTTCTTGACTAGGTTTTCATGTACCAGGACAAACACCTTAGATCAATCATCTTTATCCTTTCCTTAAAAGGGTTGTCCCACGAGCAAAAGGCCAAGGAGATTCCCGTGGCAAAATGTATCTAAAATTTCCAACTTTCACTTCCTTCTTTGTGAACACTGACTGCCCAATCAATACCCCTGGCTTACATGAACTATATATAAAGAGAGATTCCTTCTTTCCCCTTCCTCTTCTCCTCTTTCATGTCTGAAACTGCATTAACTCCTTGTAGTCAGTATCTATTTCCCTGGTGAGCAGGTGGCATGTGATAAATAGTGAAAACAATCAATGTTGGGTTCATTACAAATAATAAGTCCTCTACCCCTGATTTATGAAAATGGAGATTTCCCTTTGTTCTTGCCTAAGGCAACAACGGCAGTGGGTGAGGATTAAGACTGACAAAGACAGGTTGTCTTCTACCTAATGTGCAGAAACACTTTGAGGAAAAAGATGTGGACAGAGGTAAGGTGGTAGGGACTATGGGAGAGCTGGTTATTGCTGCCAGAGGGTTTGGCATCAGCCAAATAGCATTCTGCCTCAATTCAAATTCCTTTTACCAGTCTACTGGTAACATTACAATTGTCCCCTCTCTAGCAATTGGCTTACCATGTGTAATGACTGAAGACATGAGGAAAGGGCAAATGAGGTTTCAAAAGAAAAGTGAGCTCATGCCTATAATCCTAGCTACTCAGGAGGCTGAGATCTGAGGATTTCAGTTCAAAGCCAGCCTGGGTAGGAAAGTTCATGAGACTCTAATCTTCAATTAGCTGTCAAAAATGCTGGAACTGGAGCAGAGACTCAAGTGATAGGATGCTAGCCTTGAGCAAAAGAAGCTCAGGGACAGCATACAGGTCCTGAGTTCTAGCCCCAGTACCAGCAGAAATTTAAAAAAGAAAAAAAATAAGAAAAATGGTTTGTAGATGCAGCAATCTATGGCTTTCTAAGAAGAAAAAGATCCTCTACTTGGCAATCTTGCAGTAGTTCCAGAACATGAGTACAAGAAGTACGTACACACACACACACACACACACACACACACACACACACACACACACACACACACACAGCATAAAGCCTTTGAGAACAGACCCTCCCTGTCTCACCAACCCCAGGTCTGCCAAGTTCGTTGCATATACTAACAGCACTGGCTTCAAGGCCAATTCAACAGAGTTCTCAGTGGTTGGTAGCTTCCTATTTCCTTAGTTGTTTTCTTTTCCCAAGAAAAGACATATAAGACATTACTGGAGGCTGGATCCTTCCTTCTTATAACAATAACACCTTTACCTTAAGGATGCTGAACCTACATTGCCTGTTCATTTAGGTGCCAGGCACCATCAATTCAATTCATTACCTTTGGGAACCTTTCTTTGTAGACATGGTTCATCATAATTATTTCATGGTCACAGCAGGCAGGGGAACGTCCAGGGCTGCAAGCAAAGCAAATTACCCTTTCACAGCATGAAATGAAAATAAGCTTTTTATTTATAAACAGTCCATTACATCCAACGCACTATGCAACCTTCAGAGGAAAAGTATGCCGTATTAGGTAATAAACTACAAAATCAGTCATTAGTGCTCATGTCCACACACAGACCTGCAAATACAGAAATACACTGAAAACTCTTCAGGAAGCAAACCCAAGAAGTAAAGTGCCATAGAATAATTATAATATTAGTTCAGGAACCAGCCTTACATTGAGATTGTATTCTGCATGTGGCGTGAGTCTTTGTAGTTCTGGAAACCAACTAATGAATTGCAGTATAACACCAAACAGAGCGGCCACACACAGCAACCTCAAAGATACATTTAACAGTGTAATTTCACACTTTTATCATACACCTGCGCTCTGCCACATGCTGCTAGAAAGGGCGGAGAGACTTCCATGGCACAGGTGTTGAAGTGAAATCCATTTTCTAGACTAGCAAACATTTATTTGGGATGCTGAGGTAGACACACACAAAGAAACACAGGTATACAACTGTTGTGTGGTTTTTGTTCTTTTATTTCAGTAGTCAGTTTGTGTCTTGCGTGATGCAATGCGGTTCTACCGTTTTAAGGAGGTTACATTGCTAGATATATACAACTTACACTAGACACCCCAGGAATTTCTTAAAAGAATTTTAAAGAAATTTTTAAGAATTTTTAAGCTGAGAAGGTGGCTCAGTGGTAGAGTGCTTGCCTTGCACACATGAGGTCTTGGGTTTGATTCCTCAGCACCACATAAACAGAAAAAGCTGGAAGTAGTGCTGTGGCTCAAGTGGTAGAGCACTAGCCTTGAGCTGAAGAGCTGAGGGACAGCGCCCAGGCCCAGAGTTCAGGCCGCACAACCAACAAATTTTTTTCTGTAATGGTACTCATCTAGTCACCAAAGAACCTCTAGATGAACTAGAAATACTGGTTTTTAATTCTGAGTATCACAGGAATCTAACATATTCTACCATCCTCTGGTACGGATAAATTCAGTATTACAATATTACATGAAGAAAGCTATAAAGAGAAAACTCTTTTGTGTAAACTTCAAAATTCACCTAACAAGCTATTTTTTAAATGATAAAACCTCAGTAAAGCAACACATATTACTAATATAGAATCCTATGGAGCCGGGAGTTGGTGCCTCAAGCTTGTAATCCTAGCTACTTGGTAGACTGAGAACTGCATGGTCATGATTCAATGTCAGAAAACTTTGTAGATTCTATCTCCAATATAGCCAGTAAAAACCATGCTAGAGACATGCTCTACTCAGCTGCTAGAGCACCAGCTGAGTAGCAAAGTTGGGTAAGTGTGAGATCCTGAGTTCAAACTGTGGTAAGAAAAAAAAACTCAAATTGTCATTGGTCAAGGAGATGCACTACTCTGTATCCACTCATTTAAGCAGGACCTATTGACTGGCTCCTAGGGATGCTGTTAGCAAAAACCCTGAAATTCATGTGCCATCTGAGTCTCTTCCAGAAAATCTCATCTAAAAAATCACTTCACCCATGACCTTTCCAAGGTATTCTAACAACAAACTCAGGAACTGAGGAACCGGAAGCAGGGTATAAAGAAAGGAAGCTCCATTTGGCCCAAAGGTTCAACAACCCACAGAAGTGCCCAAGGCAGTAGGCCCTAAATGGCAGTTTGATTCTCCCACTCCTACTTGCTTCCTTCTCTTACATAGTTGGTAATCCCCAATAAACATACTGAAGAGGAAATACTATTTCAGAGTTTACTTCTTGAAGAAACAGAGTTTGGTACACATTATTTGAAACAAAGTCAAAATGAAACTAGCAGCCAGGTGCCAGTGGCTCACACCTATCCTCCTAGCTACTCAGGAGGCTGAGATCTGAGGATCATGGTTTGAAGCCAGTCCAGGCAAGAAACTCCATGAGACTTATCTCCAATTAGCCATCAAAAAGCCAGAAGTGGAGCTGTAGCTCAAGTGGTAGAGCATGAGTGCCAAGGCCCTGAGTTCAAGCTCTAAGAATGGCACAAAAAAGCAAATGAAAAAGCAAAGAAGAAACTGGCTCTACTCCAACATCAAGAGGACTAAATCTGACAACCACACAATTCAGGAGACACAACTCCTATAAATGTGTTCATAATCTGGGAAAATGTAGGATGTATGATGGGAAGATAGTATGGAAAAAATATTAGGATGGGCCTTTATAATATGGAATCCAGGAAAATATCTTCCTGTTTTTGCTATTCTTTCCAAGTAAGCTCTTTTCTCTTCATATAAATACTTAACTGTTCTTGCATCATAATAAGATGGCCTTGAGATTTCCAATGGCTAGAAGTTTTCATAGGTAGTACCCTAAGGCTAACATGATTACTGCTATTGCAGCAATTAGCAAACTGTGAAAACTTAAAGAAACAATACCATGCCTTTCAACAGTAATTACCAATTTCATCTGTAGACAGGGAAAAAAAGTCATACTATATTTACGTCTGTTCACAAATCAACTAACACATATATGAATTAAAGGATGAAAGATTTTTTTTTTTTTTACTGCCAATAGCTCAAACAGATAACACAATAAATCACAGTTTGGGAGAGGGCCACACACCTGAGACTTCGGGAACGGGGACGCATCGGCGTGTTTCTGCATCTGTTCTCAGTGGCAATGCTTTCTGTGGTACAAAAATGTTTTGACAAGAAGTGTAATTCATCTGGTGTTGGTTGGTATGGCAACTGATGCAACTTCTCCTGAGAAGAACAGGATGACTGAAACAAACCAAAACAAAGTTTTTAAGACTATGTCCAAGAGAAATTCTGAAAACAAATATAAGACCAAAGTGCTAACCTTGGGAGACAAAAACATTTTATCACTTTCTTTCTATATAATAATAATATATAATATCAGTACATAATAATATACACTATAATAACTATATAATAGTTACTAGAGTCTAAACGAATATCTGATGCTCTCTGAAAGGCTAATGGCTTTCTCTATCTTCTCTAATTTATTTCCAAAGATAATTTCCCCAAAGATAGTTTCCTCTGTGGATAAAACCTAGGCTCAGAAAATGGGTAGGAGACAGTCAAAGCCAAAGCAAGAAAGTGACCCTTGAAGTGAGATTTGCATTACGGATTATTTCTTGCATATACTGTTGCTTATAAGCAAACCCTGTCATTTTTCAGATAAATAACAAATTATATGGGATAAGGCAAAAATAAAATAATAAAGCACTAAGTGCGCCAATGGGAAGATATTTAAAATATGTACATTCAGGAGGCTGAAGCAGGAGGATTGTGACTTTGAGGCTAGCCTAGATTACATATGGATTTCCAAGCTAGCCGTAGCTACATGGCACTGATCTTATCTCAAAAGTCAAAAGTATATAAGATCACGAGAAATCCCTTAATAATGCATGTTGTCCTTACATAAAACTTCCCTCAATCCAACCTTCACCAGTAGGCTTTCTCAGCAATCTGAATTTTTTTCTTCCTCTTTTTGTGCCAAGACTATCATAAAATAAAATAAAAAGTCTTCAAGAAACAACAGTTTCACTACCGATGGAGAGTTTTTTGTTCATTGTGTACAGACTTGGTGGGTTGTTTCTTTAGATCATCGCTCAAATTTGGAAAATGGTAATGTTGGAAAGTAAATAGCTAAAACTGACTACTTTTAATCAATCAAAGATAAAGAACTGCAAATAGAGAAACTGGAGTCGGGTCTTTTTCTTTTGTCAGTACTTGGGCTTGAACTCAAAGCCTTGCCGTTGGTCAGCTTTCAGACTCCTAGCTGTCATCTACCATTTCAGTTAGGCCCCTAGTCCAATTTCTGCTACTTAGTTAGAGGCAGATGTTTTTTTTTTTTTTTGCCCTGGTTGACTTTAAAATGAGGAAGGTCCTAGCTTGCTATGTTGCGAGGGTTATAGGTGTGAGTTACTGGTGCTGTCTTAATGACAAGTAAACTCTGTATGTAATTTTCATAAAAGAGAACAAGAAATTTTTGAGTAAGTGGAAACATGGCTAGAATTAGCATAGGTTGAAAGATCTCACTCATGCAACAGTATCAGTTCTAGTAGATTTTTTTATTGAAAGACTACTGTCATTACTAAAACATACCCTTCATAAACACTGAAGCTCTGCAGTACTATAAAAACTATAAATTAATGACTAGAAGTTAAAAATAATCCTTATACATTGAAATTACAAAACGCCTAACTAATGCTGAGACAAAGAGGGATTTTTATAATGTAATTAGATGATTTTATAAACCATAAAAATGAGAACATAGCGAAAAGGACTTGTGATACAATAAGGCACAGCCTTACATACTTTCACTATAAAGTAAAACCCACAAAAATGAGTTCAAGAACTCAGGAAAGGAATAGTGAGATCAGTCTTCCAAGTGGTAGAGAAGCAGTGGCGATAACAGCAAAGGTGAGGAAAATAAACATCAAACAAACAAACAAAAAACATAAGGCTGTACGTGGAGAGCTGGGGAGAAGATGAATGGCCAAGTACTTGTCTAACACACACCTAGCTCTGGGTTCTACCAACATCCTAAAAAGTCTATACATGTATTCCTCAGGTAAATCTATGTCTACATTCTTGTATCCAAGATTTAAAAACCCACAAACCAAGAAGTTTGTAAGTTGACAGCAACTGAGCCAATGGGAAGATATTTAAAATATGTACTCAATTCACTAAGTGTGAATGTTGATTCAGGTTGCTGTAGAAACATTAATGTATTGGAGTTGCTGCTGGGCTGTTATGTATAATTACAGAGATCATGTTACCTTTCTAAAAATAAAAATTAATTCTAAAACATACCAGCCTCAAGAGTTTCAGAAGTCAGTATGGACAGGTAAGAAACCCGTATAGGAAAGATACCAACCAACCTCAGAGAGAGGTCCTTTGAGTAGGTAGGGACAAAGGGGTTTTGATGGTATTTTTTAACATTCTATCTATCCATCTGTCTTTCTATCATCTATCTACTTGTCTGTCTGTCTATCTACCTATCTACCGACCGACCTACCTATCTAGCATGCAAGTACTAGGGCTTGACCTCAGGGGACTAGGTGTGTCTTTAACTTTTTCCCTCAAAGTTGACACTCTACTACTTTAGTCAAAGCTCCACTTCTGGTTCTTGGCTAGTTAGCTGGAGATAAGGGTCTCTCAGACTTTTCTCCTTGGGTTGGCTTTGAATTGTGATCCTCAAATATCCTGAGTTGCTAGGATTACAGTGTGAGCTGCTGGAACCCAGCGAATCATTTTATTAAATAAAATAGAAATCTGGTTTTTCAACATAGTTGTAGCATATATGACAAAAAAGGTTAACATCTGATGAATCTAAGGAAAATGAGATGGTATCACATGTACTTACTGGGCAGCTCCATGAGGAACTTGGCCTTGGTTAGGGGATAGGGAATGTGATAACCTGAGTGAATGGGGGGTGCGGGGTGGGTGGGGGGAGTGTGCTAACTGTGACAGCAGAGTCTAGGAGTCCAGGAGCTTTTCTGGAGAGAAAGAGAGAGAAAGAGAGACAGACAGACAGACAGAAAGACAGACAGAGACAGAGACAGAGAAAGTATATCCCAACCAGGTATAAATTGGAACAGAGTTAAACAAGTAATTCTAGGATGTGCCCAAGACACTGGGGACAGCTGCAGGCCAGCAAGATGAGCTGGGGATGTCTTAAAACAGTAAAGTGCCTCCAGAAAGTAGGTCATGTTTTTAATACATATACAGGATCAGTTTCAGCAGAGAGTAAGGATTCAGTGAAGAACTTGCAAAACCAGCAAAGACAGCTGCCAGGATGTCAGTGGGATGCAAGTGTTGTCTCTAAAAGCTTTCTCTCTCTCTCTCTCTTTCTCTCTTGCCAGGGTGACCATCTGAACTCAGTAGTCATCTTGTCTCAGCCTCCCTAGTAGCTGGAAATATAGGCATGAACCATACCTGGCCCTGACATACTTATTGAGGAGGTGCCCCAATAAGCATCCTTGGAGTAAAATGCCGGAGGATAGAGCAAGGGTAGACCCTATTCCCTCACCTGATTGTCATGTGTGACCACCAGTCATGATCATTCTCTTCTGTTATTAGTAGAGTTTAAATTATGTTTATAAAAAAATTTAGCATTCTCATTCTAATTTATGTACATTTTGATGTGCACCAGAGAAGAAAGATTTGTTTATATGTTTATAAACAAATACAAGATGAAATAGAGAAATAAAATATAACTGTACACCCACAAGTAAAATAAAGCATCCTTGAAATGTTTAGAAGAGTCTCAAGAATTAGTCTGGGAGTTTTCCAATCAACTAAGTCTTATTACTTCATATTTTCCAAATGGAATGCCAGTGAGCCTCATTACCTAACTAGTTTGCAAAGGATTTTTGAAGTAACCATAAATCAAATCCACTTTCAAAGAATGGAAGATTTATACAATACAAACTATCCTGCTAGTAATTCTCAAGGCAGTTAGAGTTCTAAGTACATTTTCTGAGTTATACTATCTTGCAAATAATCATTTAGCCTCTCCAGATGACCACTTTGCAAAGGATAATGGTCATGGATGCATGAATTTCTCCTTGTTGTTTCCTAAAAGTAATATAATTTAATAGTCATACCTCATATTTATCAGTATATATATTCACATTTTTATTCTGTCCCTCAGCAGAAAAATAATTTATCTGATGGGATGTCTTTTCCTTACTGCTGCAAATGATTCCATATTACTTATTTCATAATTTAAAATTATGATCTGAATATCATCTTGGAGAGGTCCCACAAATTAATTTTAACTAACATTGGACACTAAAAAGAAGTTGTGGTACTAAATATTCTCTATGAAGACTGATTAATTTCATGTGAACATATCTTTCCAATGTCAAAATGCAGCATTTTAAACACTGAGCTGTTTAGCAATTCCTGTAATATCCATTGGTTAAAGAAATAATAATATTTCCATTTCTGTGTAAACAGTTTTAGAGTTCAGCTTGTAAAAGAACTATCTGTAAAATTTAAACTCTGTTTTCAGTGTACTGATAATTTCATCTGGATAGGTTCTATATTTTCCTTGGGAAAAAACAGCTAAACTATATTTTGTTTGGCTAACTAACTAATGCTTAATGATAATCCTAAAAGTAATTCAGATTTTATTTAGGCAAGAAAAAACTGTAACTAAGTAGTTTTGTGAAAATATTGCAGCACTATTTAAAGGAACAGGACACAAAGAAAGTGGGGAATGAGAGAAATAGCATTTCTAGTTTTCACTGGTCACTTTTTTTCTGATTTTTTTATTGTGAACTGGTCACTTTTATCAACATTAATATGGAGAAAAGATAGCAGAAGTAGTAGTACCTACCATCACAGACTAAATAGCTGTTTCTGGTTGTTTGTTTGTTTTGGCTGGAAGTACAATTTGGAACACTTTATAATAAGTACTTGTAAAAGCACTAGTTTAAAAACCATTTAAAACCAACAGAGTCAGATTTTATGTACTTGTTCTTTTTTAATTCTCATTAAAGATGATATGTGATAAAAACACACAGAGATATTATGCTCTCTCTTACTTTTCTTAATAAATGGGAGATTTCTGCATCAAGCTATCATAAAGCCTAACTGGGTAGAATGCAAAGTGTTATAAAGGGAATAAAATAATTTGACATTAGGAGACATGAATTCTTTTGGGAGGGGATTAAATGAAAATATGTATGTAAAATCCATAAGGACAATCACTCTGCTAATCAGAGCTTGGTGCTAATTAAAGATACCAAGGGTCTGGGGAAGGACAGTACTTAAAACTTTATGAATTACTCTTCTTTCTCCTTTGGTTAATCGGTTTCAGCATTCATTTTCACATTGTGGTTTCCCACATTTTCAACATCTGAAATGTGGACCAGTAACCACTGACGGCTGCCATAACAGCCAAAGATGACCTCACTATTAGTTAGTGACAATTTTATCCATGGGTCCCATCCAGGATTTTTATTGATGTGAGGTTGATGTGCCACCCAAACTACTTAGGACTCTTAGAAATTTTCTCAAAATGGTCCAAATGAACAATAAATTCACATCCACAACAAAACGGAATAATGGACAGGAAAAATGACCTCACTTCAGTAAAACTCTAAAAGAAGATTTTAACAACTTGGTTTAGAGGTGCTCCAGAAAACCCATGTCAAATTATAGTTGGGATCCTAGGAACAGATAATTGAAGGTTCTAGTGATACAGTTATGGGTTATCTACTGAGCTGTTGTTTCTTGTCAACTCCAGGATTATCCAGTGAATGAGTCTCTGTGCTTAGCATAGTACTGCAGGCTGTGGAAAGCACAACAGATGGATATTCCTAATCAGCCACACATTTTAACATTAAGAGGGAGGAAATGAATTAAAAAGACTATACACATAGTCCACATTCGTGGCTCACACAAGAACATCCAAGCCATCACATTATATATTTAGTGAACACCTTCAGCCTCCTGGGTCTTTCTAAACGACTATTTGGTTTCTAAGGCCTTATGGATACAGACAATCCACAAAGCTACACTAACTTCAACTAAGACTGCTTCTACTTAATCTACTGAAGTCTGTTCAGAAATACCTAGGCCTCTTATTGAAATAGTGTTTAGGGGCAAGAGTCTTTTCCCTCTATTCTATTTCCATGATTCAATCTTGTCTCTATTTATATGAACCTTTTACTAAGTAATCTGTGACTCTCTTTAAAATGGCAAGCTAGAAGTCTTGTCATTTTTGGGGGGTTTGGTTTTCTTGTGTTCTTTGAAAGAGAGAGGAAACAAAACAAACTTCTAAACCACACAAAACAAGGTCAAGTCTAGTAAAGTTTAATGGCATTTTCAGTATTAATATCCCCAACATGAAACTAAAGCAAGAAAACCAGATTGTGTTTTCCTCACAAACTACAATAAAAATTGGTATTAAAACAAAAGCTTCCAGTTGTCTCTAAACCTCTTGGGCCTTATACAGTTTATGTGTCACAATTTAGAAGCTTACAGGAATACTAAGCCCTTTTCATGTTTGTTAGGCCATCATTTGACAAGTAACATATTCAGAGTGGCAGACATGTAGAATTTATCTTCTTCCCACCAGGAAACACCCAGAGGAAGCACTGCCTACATAGAGGGTAGATGGGAGGGAGAGAAAAGGATCTAGTACTTACAGAGACAGTAGAGCTGGGTGTGTTTGTCCCATAACCAGAGGAGGGTAGGGAAGCCAACGACCAGCGGCGTCCATCAGTCCTGTTGAGAAAGGGAACATAGTTTAGGTCAACTCTGGAGTACTGTCACAAGGGAACTCAAGAGAAAAGGAGTAGTTTTAGTCGAACAAATGACACAAACATCATCTGTGAGGTTGTGGAAATGCTCAGCCAGGGTCAGGGTAAACAAACATTATACAGCAGGTTGACTTTTATTTAAACTGAATCAATACACCCAAACAAGAGGAAAGTGAATGGTTTGATCCATAGTATTGATCTCTCACTAATACAATTTGACAAAATGAATACCAGGGATAATTACAATGGTCAGACTCAGCAGATTCAAAAGCATACAAACAGAAGGGAGGAAGGGAAAACACTCTCAACTAGGAACTGATAACCAGAACCAAAAATCTTTACCAGGGCCTTAATTCCAGCATAGTGTGAGAGCCTATGGGAAGTCAGGACTGATGAAAAACTTCAGTGTCCTAAACTCTTTGCACTTTGTGTTTTCAAGGGAGCAGTCCCAGAAGGAAGCTCATGGCTTGTAGATGGTTGAAGTTGTTTTTTTTTTTTTTTTTTTTGTCAGTCCTGGGGCTTGAACTCTGGGCCTGGGCACTGTCCCTCAGTTCTTCAGCTCAAGGCTAGTGCTCTACCTCTTGAGCCACAGCACCACTTCCTGGTTCAAGTTTTTAAGTGGCAAGTAGAACTAAAAAAGTGACTGTCTTTGAGCTCAGACTCTCTGAAGAGTTATTGCTTCTGACATGACCTGGCTTCCTTCATAAAGTGTTGGAGCAAAGATCACCTGCAGAATTTTAGAGTCTGCAGCCCACTTCTAGGCAATGACCATAAGGGCAGAAGGAAAAAGTATCCACAAATAACAGATGCAAACACAAGGGGTAAAGCCGTCTGTTCTAGTCTTAGAGGGAAGGCTGTCAGGAGTCTTAAATAGAATTGCTTTTGTCCTCAATAGTGTTAGCATAGTGATTTCTGAATTGGACTCTGGTTATGAATCAGGGTCATTACATGGGTCTAAGATGGGTTAATTTCATAGTAGAAGCAATACTGCTTCATCTAAGGCAAGTAGAAACCAAAAAGGAAATTTTCTGGAATTGCTGGCATCCCAGACTATGTCTTAAAAATCACAAAGTGTCATGAAAGCAAACACATGCAAATCTGCCAAGGGGAAAGATAGAGAAAACATCTGAGGGGTAGTATTGTGTTCCTAGATGCACTACCATTCATCAACTTTCTATAATTCATGACTATATTAATTTACAAAGTAGGAGACAGGAATAGACAAACTACCAAAATCACATTCACAGTAAGTTGAAATCAAGGAATTCTACAACACTGAACACGAACTGGAGAAAACACAATTTGATGTTGATGTAAAAAACTGACAATTTAGCCTGATGTGCAAGGAAAAAATATTACCATAGGCTACCATGGGTGTTACTCCACTAAATGCGAATGGTCTACAAAGACAAAATGGAGAAAATCAAGTGGACAAATCATGGAACTACTACAATGTTAAGATTTTAATAAAAGTTACCTGTCATTTCTGTGACCATGATTGGAGTACAATTGAATCAAATATGGTAAGAAAAAAACAAGAAAAAAAAAGAAAAAGAAGAAGAAGCAAAATAAGATGTTTTCAGATATACCAAAGTAAAGAAACTAGGACAATTAAGTTCTATGTTGTTTAAAAAACACTGTTAAACAATTGAAAATATTAAATACTTTAAAAGAAAATAATTATAATATGCTTATAGATACCCAACTATCAATTAAATGGACACAGATTGATTCTATTTTATTTAACTATTTATTAAAGTCTTAAAAATCTATATCTGTATTTTATATTTTAAATCCCAATTTAGAAAAGGATATGATTTTAAAAGAATTCAGTCTATTTAATAGCAATTATCAGAAACTAGTTTCTGGAAACAGTAAGGGACACAATATCCCCTACCATAATTTTGTTTTGTGATTCATTAACTCTCTCCTTTCCCTCAGGTATCAATGAACATATTTCAGATGGATGAACAATTCCAAGAGGAGATACAATCTTACTAGCTCTGAAGCATAAATTATATTTGCATAGTCCAGAAAACATACAACTAGAAAGATGTTTGAACAAAAATGTGCCAGTATTCTGTACAGGTATTGAACAGATATAATTTACATCTCATAAAGTTCCCTAAGTTGTCTGTGTCTATTTACTCAAATGGAGCAAAAGGACCATTGCATTTTCATTGTCATGACAACCGTACATCAGAAGTTACTATATATGCTACATGCAGTCTTTAAGAGAGAATATGCCCCTTTTCCAAGAAAGCTATCCCACAAGTGCAATTTGCATCTTACTAACAATGTTGCCTTTTCTCTTTAGTAGCTATCAAAAAGATATACGAAGTCAAGCCCACATTCTTACCAAAGCAACAGGCTTTTTGGAAAAAGTCTTTTCCTTGTGTGTAAAAATCTTGATGTTACATTAAGTGAAAAAAACAGGGAGAAAAAAACATCTGAATGGAACAGAGGACACAAAGATATTGGCAAAAAACAACAACAACAAAGCAAAACCCCATGGTTTCAATTCACAAAAACTCAGAATTAGGTATATCACAAAGAAAGAATGAAAAACTCTGCTATCAACCTATTTAACCATATGATGTGGAAGCAGATTTCTTTCCTTAATTGTTATGGTCACCTGGGGTGATACTTATATTGTGTACTTTAGTAGATGTTAGAACAAACTGAACTCTAATATAGTACAAGCAACAAAATCTGCTCCAGAAAGAATTCTAAAAAATTAAGTAGGAGGTTGCCTTGGTCACAAATGCTCAACAAATATCTAAGGACTTTAACACAGCAGACAAATGTGCTCGAGTAATTTGCGTGTATAAATATAGCTAGAGATTTAACCTGATAAACAACAGCTAGACAACCAAGAAAGACCTATGGCATTTATTCAAGGACACTTGATTTCCAAAGAAGGTGAAAGTAATTTATCATGTGTGAACCTCTACAACTTCTGGAAAAAGCAGATTATCACCTCCAACTTACCACACAGGGAAAGATGTTAATCCACACTTAAGTACACTAAATCAGTACAGGTTAACTATCTGTCATCCAAAATTCTTGGGATCTGAGAGTCTCAGATTCTGGAATTCCTTGTCTTTTGAAATATCTGTGCAGACTTTTTTGGTAAGTATCTCGAATTCAAAGTCAGAAACATTTTGAAATCTCATCCTGCCACCCCAAAGTGTCAATGAACTTCAAAATGCTTCAGATTTTGAGCCAGACACTGGTGGCTTATGCCTATAATCCTAGTTACTCAGGAGGCTGAGATCTGAGGTTCGAAGTTCAAAGCCAGCCTTGGAAAAGAAAAAAAAAAGTCCACCAAACTCTTGTCTCTGATTAACCAGCAAAAAGCCAGTAGAGGTGTTAGGCTCAAATTGTAGAACATTAGTATTGAGTGAGAAAGCTAAAGGAGAATGCTTTAACCCTAAGTTCAAGCCTCAGGACCAGCATACACACGTGCGCGCACGCGCGCGTACACACACACACACACACACACACACACACACACACACACACACACAGAGTTTTAGATACTAGAGTATTCTGAATTTTGAGTTTGTAGATTAAGGGTGTTTAAGCAAACAGGTTATAAAATAATTACCAATGTAAAAAGGCAGAGCACTAGTGGCTCATGCCTATAATTCTAGCTACTAAGGTGAGATCTGAGGACTGTGGTTCATAGCTAGGCTGGGCTAGAAAGTCTGTAAGACTCATCTCCAATTAGCTAATGAAAAGTTGGAAGTGGAGCTGTCGCTCAAGTGATGGAGTGCTAAGATCTGAACAGCTCAGGAACCACACCCAGGCCTGGGTTCAAGCTCCAATACCAGCACAAAGCAACAACAACAAAACAAACAAAAACAATTGCCAGTGTGAAAATAATCCTCTAGACAAAAATCTCTAAAATTGATGCTTTTTTCCTTTTTATAACTCAACATTTAAAAAATTAACTTGCTAATTCTACTCTTGCATCTGTATTAGACAATATGGAAAGCAAATATGAATCATCATACCATACATTCTGTAATTGGAATTTTATATTACAGGGGTGTCTACTGGGGGAGTATTATTATATTGCAAATTATGATCAGGAAAGACTAATCAGCCTGACCTTTATCTCTTCATGCAGAGCAAGTTAAAAGAGAGCATATGTCCTCTATTGGACTGCATTCATAAAACAATAAACTGGCATTACTTCTTAAGTCTAAGAGTCCATAGCAAATAGAAGGTAATGGAATCCCTGAGATAAAATCACCATGTTTCCCAAATGAAAAGCAGCTCTAAAATGGGAAAAAGACTCCCAGATGAATGTTCAATAGAAAATGCTTATTTGAATTCTCATGAGGAACACAGGGTTCTTTTTGCTTCTTTAAGAAGATGATCACTCATGTCCTAATATACACTAATGCTTCTTGAAGAGTGTGGAGGGAGTTTGTGCTGGAAGTTCAGGCAAAATGGACCAGAGGTCTCCTGTGGTAATCTCCTGTCACACTGTATGGTTTATTTGTCAAAGATTAACATACTTGGGTGCTGGTGTATTTTTTTTTTTTTACTGCACAGACACTAGATTTATCTGTCCTTCAATCACCCACTTAATTATTAGAGTATCTTCATTCTTAAAAATCTGGCAGGATTAAAAGACTACGATTTCTGTCATATTTTAATGCAAGCTGTAATGAGATTTGCATTTTATTTTATTGCTAAAGGTAATTCAATGTGCTTCTCCCATTTTTGGAGACATGTTTTGAAGACTACATAGGGCAATTTATCAATTTTATTAGATATCTTTCTGCTTGGAACATTGCACAATTAAAAATTTAATACCTGCTAGGCAAATAGACTTTCTGAAATCCTTTTGTTTTGTTTTGTTTTCTCTCTCTCTTTACAATACTTACTGGGAAGAACTAAAAAGAATAAGAGTCAGAACTCTGGGATGATTAAGGGGGGCCTCAATAAGCTCCATGGAGAAGCTGCCTTAATCACTCTATACCCTTCCCACAGTAGGACACAGAAAGACATTGAGCGTAGGATGGGACATGACTAAAGCAACAGAAGAACAAACATTTCCTTTTGGCTTGGGACTCATTATGGAATCTTAATTCTACAGAATTCTGAAAATGCCACAGACACATTCTTCCCTCTAGATTTCATAATATAAAACACATCACCTGCTGACCAACAGCAGTGGGTACACTGTAAGTTTTGCTAGATAGTAATGTGTCTAAGAAAAAATAAATTTCTTAACCTACCTATGCACTTTCATTAAGTGCAATCTAGACCATTTCAGGAAATAGTTAGGTCTCTAAGGAAATTTTGGCAAATATCTAGGACACTCAAACCACAAGCCAAATTTATCCTGAATATCCAGAGACCTGACCGAGGGACATTTTGCTTTTGATTGTCCTGGGCAGACAGGACAAGGTGTATATATGGGAGGGGTGAAGGTTAAATCTGATGGAAAAAGTAGGTTGATTCCACATGCCGAATCCAAAAAAGATGGTTGAATACTACTCTTCTAACTTGGCTAATCTACAGGAGAAAGGGTAGAGATAAGATCCACCTGAGCAACAACAATCCTTCCTCTTGACTCAATGCCCCAGAGTAGAGATGTGTATCTTCAATATGAATAGAATTTGGTGCTATTTGTAAGTAGGCTAGAAAGAGAAAATGCAACGTATCATATAGCCTACCATACATTGTATAGTCTACACATGGCTTTTTCTCAGAGGCATCACTGATTTGTTAGCTTGATGCTCCTAAATAGAGAGCTATCTCAGATTCTAGAAGGAAGTCATTTCTACAGAGTATCAAAACAATAATAACACAAAAAACATACTAGGATACAGATGACTATTGCCTCTATCAGAGAAGCTCAGATAACTCAGTAAAATCTGTTGACCACCACCACCACACAAGATATGCATTAACAATGGGAGAAAATATAGAAAGAGTAATTTCCTGCCTTTATTGGAAACTTATCATCTACTGAAGGACAAGAAGGGACCTAGAAGTCTAATATAAGGCAGAGTCATTAGTTAAACTGTTAAAGCAAGGTGTTCAACTGTTAAAGCAAGCAAAGCCCTTAAGCCAGAGAAGACTTAGGGATTATGAGTTGGACCTCACAAGGCAGAGGCAAGAAAGGGAAGGGACAGGGAGAAGGTAAAGAAATGGGATTCTCCATTACTCCACTTATAAGAAAACCTTACCTCCGTGCAAATGAAAAATGGGCTGAGGCACTGGGGGAGAAATTTCTTGGGCTATCTTGAGGGCTATTTCCTGTAAAGAAAAAGAGGAGAAAAATGTGTCACATGAGCTTGGTTTTTGTACTACTATCCATATCCAGAATCTTCTTCTCCTTAGCAATAAGTTTCTTTACAGCTCTGTAAAATGTTGTTTCCTCAAATAAAATTTTACTTTTATCTGGAGCACAGGAGTGTCTTGAGTTTCAGCAGATTTCCAAGTATACAAAATTTATGAACAGACATCCACCATATCACCAACCACAGCCCTCCAAATATTTAATCACTGAAATAGTTCCACTGTACACAAGAATGAGTATCAATTTGCTTTGGTTGTGCTCCTCCAAGTGCAAACCGGATGGGTAGGTACATGCTTCTATTTGAGGGGTGATGGTTATAGTAAGAAGTGTGAGTTGTCAAACTTAAATACTCCTATGCTAAAAAAAATACATTTTAAAAGATGGATATGTCATAAACTTCTAGGGAGAACTCAGCTGTCTAGACCTGTTTCTAACACATCCCAGATTAATCCTAGCATCGCTAGAAGGGCCCAGCAGGAGCGCCCCTTGTCAATATTTTCTTCAACAATCTCTATGCCCCTAAACAGCTGGAATGTGACTGGCCAGACGGCTTCTAAAAGCCACAGCCACAAGGAGATGGGCAGCATGTGTCTCTTCAAGTCTTTCCAGGGCAGAGAGGAGAGCTGATTGCTCGCTGGAAGGAGGGTAGCTCCTTTGGGGCTTGTTACTTTCTCCATTAGCCCACTCAACCTGCTGCTGATCATTGACAAAGCTTGGCAGGCAGCTGGCGAGGGCAAGTTCAGGACACTCCAGACCACCCTGCTTCCCTCTGCATGCTTAATTAGATTGAAGGAATTGTCTGAAGACCACTTGGGACTGAAGCCTGTTTCAGTATGGAGGTGAGGAAAGGCTGCAAAGAAAATCCTGTGCGTTCATGAAAAACGGAAAACAAATTACAAAGATATATTTGATCCCTAACAACAAACCAGTTGCCACAACACTGGCTTTTCCGTGAAAGAGACTATTGTAATTAGGTATAAGGCTTACAAGATTTTACACACAAGTTAGTACCTGGCTGTAAAGTAAACAATTTATTACCAGTGGACAAAAAGAACAGACTATCACATTAAGAAAGGTAAGTTTAAGTCCTTGAGGACTTCTGGACCGGCAACAACTACTGAAATTTTTCAATTAACTTAAGGTTGCAAATTTTATAGTGATGCCTTCAACAGACAGTCGTTAACTTTATGACAGACAGCACAATCAAAGCTGTTCAACGGGGAAATGCTGAGAAGCCCATTTCTTTATGGAGATAGACTCAAGAAGCATTTTCCCCCTGCCACAGTGAAATTTATCATGTCTTTGCATCTGGTGTTCCTTGGACCCCCTGAGAAATAGATTTTTGCTTCTGCCATCTAGTAATCCAAGACTCATTTGGTCTATTTATCTATTGCTAAATTAAGTTATTTTGACTACTCTGAATAACCTTTATTCCCCCATCCATAATGTAGCTTGTAATTTACTCTCTACATTTCTTAAGACCTCAATAATTTCAAGATGGCTACAAAGTTTTGCTTCCTAAAGGGAAATAGCTTATGTCAGAAATCTTTGTCAAGATTTTGTGGTTTTTCTTCCCCCTTGGGAAAAGTATTTACTTTGTGCAAACACTATAGAATACAAATTATCTGTAAATTATCAAAAATAAAATAACTGCTTAGTTGAGGCCAATACATTTTGAGAACAATCCCTGCTACCTGATTTTACTCAGAATGAAATAATGCCATGAAGGAAATATGATCCCAAATTCTTTGCTTGTGTTCTTTTAAAAAGAAAATATTAAATCTTGAGAATTAAATATTATGGCCAAGAACAATAAGAGAATGAAATGAATATTTTCACAATACAGGATAGAAAAAAAAAACAATACAAGAAATTAACTGAAAAATCACTTTCAATTTTAGAGATTTTTTAACAAGTGATCTCCAGTGATCTCCTCAATATTCTATAAAATATTGAGGCCCACCACCTGTATGTTTGTTTGATAGGCAGACAGAGAGGTGTAGACAGGTTAATTAAACATTGCTCTTTTTTTTTTTTTTGCCAGTCCTGGGGCTTGAACTCGTGGGCTGGGTACTATCCCTGAGCTTCTTTTGTACAAGGCGAGCCCTCTACCACTTGAGCAACAGTGCTTCTTTTGCTCAAGGCTACCACTCTACCACTTGAGCCACAGCCCTATTTCCGGCATTTTCTATTTATGTGGTACCGTGGAATAGAACCTAGGGCTTCATACATGCTAGGCAAGCACTCTACCACTAAGCCACATTCCTAGTCCTTAAGAAAAGAAAAAGGCTAAGATCTGAGGATTGGATTTGAAGCCAGTCCAAGCAGAAAATTCTGTGACATTCTTATCCTGTTAGCCAGCACAAAGCCAGAAGTGAAGCTGTAGCTCAAGCTTTTAGCAACACCTAAAACAAAAAGAGCTAAGAGACTCACCCAGATCCTGAGTTAAAGCTCCAATACAGGCGCGTGCGCGCACCCACACCACCCCCCCACATACATACATAAATAAATAAACAAATAAATAAATAAAGTGAAGAAAAATAAGAAAAAGTCAAGGTTGCCATTAGTCATCTCTTCAGATTTTGCTTTCTCATCTCAGACTACCTTTCCAGGTATATCAGCTGCATACATATTTTCCTTATTTTCTTCTGCTTACCCCTATGCTGCTATAAAAGCAATCATAAATTCTCACACCTTAAACTCAAGTCAATAAGAACCCATCTGAGTTATCTTAATGATGCCAGATCTTTCCTCATTTCATGTGCAACTGAAAGGTCAGATTGAAATGTAAGTATACACAATACACACCCACAGTCATGTGTTCCTCAGGTACTAGACATTTTCTGAGATGCACATCAGGCAATTCCATAAACGCTTGATTATCACAGACTGTACCTAAATAAACTAACATGGCAACTAGGTGATATAATCTTGTAGGTGATCTTTGGAAGTTTTGACAACAGAGTTGACAGAATGTGATGAACAATGAGATTCAATGGAATAAAAGGGGATGCTGTTATTTGATGCACATATGTATGCATATTGTAATTAAGGCTCTTTAAGTGTCATGAAGTTGTAGAGAACATGAGGAGAATGGAGTAGGCTAGAGTTCAACTGAGGATAGTTCAGCAAGCTTTAGATTATCAGGAGAAATAGAAGGGACTTCTAAGAGGGTCAGAAAACAACTCAAACAGTAGTAGGATTCAAGAGTCAGGCTTTCTGGCTAAAAGAAATTCAGACTGGTAAAGCCAATGAGCTGTGGACTATGGTCATTGGTACTAACTAGTGGCTGATCTTAAAAGCTGCTTGAATGCAAGAGAGAGGTGTCAGAGATTTAAATTGGGTATTAGTAAACCTGGTATGGGTGGCCAGACTAGCACTAGAGAAGGAAGAACTGGATCTGGACATGCCAGGCCAATAGAAAAAATATTCGGGGGGATGAATCAAGTATAAGAAGTGATAGGCTAGAAATAAGTGATGAAAAAAGAATACAAAGAAAAAGTGATTGACATCTCCCACATGGATAAACTAAAAGAATAGAATGACTAGTCCAATGGCAGGCATCTTGGGAGGCAAGTCAGATTGTGGTGATCACAGAGGAGGGAAAAAAAAATCAAAAAACAAATGAGCATCCTGTAGACTTTTGTGGCATGTGTTACAGAAAATTCAGCTTTCCCCAGGGAGAAATTACAAGATTTAGCAGATTAGACCTGTGGAAGTCAATCTTTGCAGTCTTTGTTCTTATTTGAAATAAAAATTGATTTCTACTTGGTCTCTGAAGATTTAGAGACATTGTTTGGTCACACAGTGATCAAAATACTGTTAATTTAGAACAGTTCTATTATAAAGCATGTCATCTCTATCCTTAAACTCTGAAATGAGGACCTGACTATTGCACTTGTGCAGGAAGCTTCTTTGGGATAAGAGAGCTAAGATGGACTGAAACCAGAGTCCTATACATGACCTTCACTCCTCACAGCACTGCTGTCTGAATTCATCCACCCATCTGCAAAGCAATACCTGGGAGACTCTCAAATGAAAACTGGTGCCAGTTAATTCTCTGCCCATATGTGCAGCTCTTGCTTATAACTCAAATCCTGCTGCTCCAGGGATTTGCTGGCTCTTGCAAGTTTGAGTGCTTGGACACTTTATAGACTGCTGATATCTTGGCTGATGGCTCTGACCTGCTAGCGAAAGGCTCCGTAGTGGTCAAGCATTAGGTAGGTAATTAACTCCATGAACCCCATGGGGCACAGGAATGGCTAATAAGCAAGCCGTATAACAAAACCATACTTTACCTCATGGCGCTACACAGGGAGCCTCATTTCAGAGGCAGTTATTGTTAAGAAAGTGATTTCTAGATTAATTAAATTGTTTGATTGCTTTGTAATTAGGTTGGGGAAGGCCCATGTCTTTGCCACAGAGAATCAAGCTGCAAAGCTTTTTAAAGGCATATGCTTTACCCATTATAGATTATTAATGTGCTTTTAATGGGGGCTGTTCATGAAATGATAGTTTCTGATGCCCTGATTTTCTATCAGGACTGAGTAAATTCAAGAATTAATGGCCACAGCCATTTAAAAACTCTTGATTTAACAAAAAGAGTGAGCCCCCATTTAAATCCTTGTTGTTACTACCTGATGATGCCCTTAAATGAGCTGTGATGTTTCAGCTCTCAGCCGTGTGCTGTTTCTGACTGCTCTTCTGGGAAAACCTTTGCAACACATGGCCTCTATTTAAAAACCTCCAGTACTAGATCTTACAGAACCATATCTAGGACCTCCTTGCAAGATGAATGCCAGCAAATAAAGTGGCCACTGGCACACTTATTCAAGAACCTCAAACTGAATGAACTTTGTGAACTAATAGTTCGAGTCACCAGAGAAGTTTACATCAACCCCACTGGAACAAAACAAATGACATGTGAAGAGAGGCAGAGACCTCTTCTCCACTTAGA